CACGCCGTGCTTTTGAAGCTGGAAGGTGTGATATTAACACAGCAAAATAATTTATGAATATTCATTTAACCACCTTCCCGGCTTCCAGCGTGTTCCTGCTCTCGGGAGCGCTCGGGGTGTTTCAGAGAGCTGAAACCCAGCTCTGAACGTGGCCGTTTTTTGCAAGGAGGATTAGGAAAATAATGCACGGTTTTGGTTAAAAATCCACGTGCAGCCGGGCTGGTGGGGCACGGGGTGGCTGCGCACCGGGCTGGAGCGCGGAGCTCCTGCAGAGCACGGGCTGCTGGCGGGGCCCAAATGGTGAAAATAATAATAATAATAAAAAAAAATCCACCACGGGCAGAAGGTGCTAGTTTTGGGGGGAGCTGCTGTCGCCCCGGGGAGATGCCGGCGTGTCCTGCGCGCATTAATGAAACACTTTCGTTCCGGTTAGGACTTGAACGATGCTCATTGAAAATCAGGCTGCCATGGAAACCGGAGGTGTTGGGTCTTTGGGGAGCGCTGCCGGACGGAGGCGCAGGGAGGGGAGGGGATGGGAGGCATTTTGGCAAAGCCCCGGCTTGCAGAGGGTTTTGGCAAAATCCCCCCAGCGGGTGGACACGGGGACAAGAGAAGGGATGGAGGGGAGGAGGTGGCCCTGAAGCCCTGCCACCACCAGCACCGCCACCGTGCCGCTTCCCAGCCCCGTCCCATGACCAAATTTTGACTTGAATCATCTTTTCCGCATTGCACATGAGGAAGAAACGAGCGATGCCCTCAGCGGAGGAACTGGGGGGATTCTGCAGAGGCTGAGACCTCGCACTCCAGGTGCATGAGCCCGGGCAGTCACTTCTGCAAACCTGCTTTTTCCTTTCTGTTTGTGCTTTGCTCGTGAGTGTTTTACTCCTCTGGGGCTTGGATATCACCTCCTGGAAGATTTGGTGGTGGGGCTGGCCAGAAGGTGACGGCTCTGCTTCACAATGGGCTTTGTGGGCAGAGCTGATGTGTGCCACCCTGAGAGAAACCCAAAGCCTCCCTGCACTGGGGACCATTTCCCCAAGAGGCTTTTGAGCTCTCCCCAAAAAGTGCAGGTTAAAAAAAAGAGTTTAAAAGTGACTCGGAGCCTCTCCCGGTCACACACACCCCACATTTTATTCTCTGCACACCCCCAGCGATTGCTGAATGATGCTCACACCTGGCTGGGTGCTGCCACCTCCAAAAATCAGTGCAGGGCCTGCCCCGAGCTGCCCCGAGCTCTCCCTGGCTCCGTGCTCCGCACCCTGAGCCCCAGCCCGAAATCACGCAGCACAAAAAGGTGCCCTCAAAACCGGTGTGTAGTGACTGAATATTTCTGATCTGGAGGATTATTTTCTCCATAGGAAGCTGTTGGCTTGATGCGTGTCTTGCCTCGTGTCCAGGTCTCCCCACGCAGGTTTTTTTGGGCAGGTTTTTTCATAGCTGCTACTGCAGATCCGTAGGGTCCACAGTGTGCGTCTCCACGTAGCCCTGTTACAACCTACACAGAAATAACCAGAGGGTTAAAAAATAAAAAAAGTCTCGAGGACGGCATTGTTCGTGCTGGATAAAATTCTGTGAACAAAGCAATTGGCGTCATTTCACTTGCAAATTGAGCAGCGAAGCAAAATACCATTTATGAAACCATAATTTATTCCTGGGAAATCAAGCACTTACAATGTCTGCTTGTCGCAGGTTAAGTTACAGAAAGGGAAAAAATAGATTAATGATGAACGTGACAACATCGCAGGCTAAATCATCACAGCCAAAGCCTTTGAGAAGCTCGTGTGTGCTCTGCACAAACTGGATTTTTTTTTTTTCCAGCGGCTTTAAAACTGTGATTGCTTGGGGATGGAGATGTCGGTGCCACCGGGCCAGCAGCGGCTGGGAAAGAGGAGAGAGTGGTGTCCTCGGCCCCATCCTGCTGGTGGGTTTGTCCTAACAGCTCTTGCCCAGCTCCTTGCCAAGGGATCATCTCCGTGGTGGGGACACCACCAGAGCCACCATCGGGGCACCAAAGCTCTCCCAGAGGACCATCGGGAGATGCTCCACGACCTGGTTCACCAAAGGGGGTCTCCTCGGGGCTCTGTTCTGCCCTGGCTTTTGCTCCCCATCCCTCTCAGCCCTTCTTGCTGGGGGTGCACTCTGTACGTCTTTATTAATGGACACACCAGGGACCAGTCCTAATCCCCTAATTCTGACTTCACGGACATCTCCTGAAGGTCTCACCCAAGCGCTGGATCCCCACCTCTGCCTCGGGAGGAAATTCCTGGTCTTAAAGTGAAGTTTCAGATAAAAAAATGAATTAAATGCCCTCAGACTGCAGGTGGTGACCGTGCTGTGATGGTACCCAACACCCCAAGCAGTTTGGGGGCACCGGGGGTTGGGGTTGGGGCTGGGTCCTGCCGACCCCATAGCACCAGCTGTGCGCATCCCGGTACCTGGGGCGACTGAGATCCAGCTTTTGGGGCTTTTGGTGGTCAGAAAAAATTGAACCCACTGGGCTTTGGCAGCAGGGCTGGGCTTTTGGCACCGTAACACCCACAAACACACCCAGACAAGCAGCGATAAAGCGGAGTTCGTGACCTGGGGAGCGATTGCTGGCTGTAATAGTGTGTCACGTATTAAGGGAGCATGTTTGAAACCACATTATATTATTAAAATTCATAGGAGTGATTTATAGGGGGGTTTAAAAACAGCAGCTTGCCAATATAAATTGGCTTAGGAAAGTCAACTGTAATCCACACAGGTCCAAATAATGACATTTCCTCCAATACATCCAAAAAGCTGAAAAGCAGAAAATAATATCCAGGCTCCAGAGATAAGGCGAGCGCCCAGGGGAAGGAGGGCTCTGAAATATTCATGCGGTTGTAGATTGGATGTCGGAAACGGCCGTTCCCGGTGGCTGTGTTTGGGGACTGATGAATTTAGTTACTGTACCTTTATATTTATCGCTCGATAAACAAGACAAGCTCCTTTACAACTGCGAGCAAGACTAATTTGGCCGTTTTAGCATGGAGGAAACGGCTTTCTGGACAGCGCGAGGTTTCCAGCAGAAATCCCCTACAAAATTAGGAGAATTTTAACCCAGCCTGGTGGGAGGCGGCCAGCAGCAGAGGGCTGGGGGGAGCCGTCCATAACGGGGCTGAAAACCCAAATTTGAGGTCTCATATGATAAAAAGCCAGCAGGGTGGGTACCAGGACTCCCTCACCATATGTGCTGTGGTCAGGGTGCCCGGACCCCAATTTTTCCCTTTGTGGGAGCCCCGCGAGGTCGGGATCAGCCCAGCCTGCGTGGTGCTGATGGAGATGTTCCAGCTCGTGGTTTTTAAAGATTATTTTTCGAGGCAGAGAACAGCGCTGTAAAGGTTTTACAGCGGCTGTGCTGGAATTAAAGGCGGATTCGTAAAAGTGTCAGCAAATGAAACCGTAATGCCCGAGCTGTATTAGCGCTAAGATGACCTTTTGGCTAGTTAGGGGTTTATGGGATATTATAAATTCTCCTTGTGCTGGCAGGGTTATACCCAGGGCATCGTTTCCACCCGAGGCAGGAACCCAGTGACCGGTGCCATTGGCCACGAGCCGGGGGCTGGGGGTGTTTGGGGACCGGGGGATCCCAAAACACTCAGCCCGAGCATCCTGAGCGCTCCTACAGCTGGAGAGGCAGTTATCAGGTGGTCCCAGCAGTAGTGTTCATAAGGAGATTTCTTTTCTTTTATTTATTATGAGTTTCGGACGCTCGGTTAACTTTTTCTTGAGACTGCTAATAATTCCAACAGCCAGAAATCAAAGAGATTTAAAAGTATTGCTCGGCTTCTTTTTATTTCCTTACCCTCTAAGACTTTAGATTAATATCGTCGAGGCTTTTTTTTTATTGCTCTGAAGGCAGGGAAAGTCCTTTTTTAATGAAAGCCGAGAGCTTTATATAATACCTCGGCTCCAAAGCTGTGATTTGAAGCTCCGCATTTCGCAGAACTTACAAGAAAATCCCTGGAGTTAACCAGCTCTGATCTTTCTTCACCTCTTGCTTTGCCACCGGGAAATAAACCCAGTTTTTATGCCCGTGTTTATTACGAAATGTGTATTTAGCCCTTCCGTGCTGCAATTTACCCGTTCTGGGAGCTTCAGGGAGCTGTTTGAAGCGACGCTGCTCGCTCACCTGCTGACTGAAAGGCTCTTTAGGAAGAGCTGAGGGGGCAGCAGGGTTGTGGTCGTGTCCCCGTTGGGGTCAGCTGAGTCCCTAAAACAAGCCGTGCTCTGCCCGTTGCTGGCTCCCTCCTCCCCTGGGAGATTTGGAGGCTGAAAATGCTGTTTTTCAGCGTGGTGGAGATCAGAAGAAGGGGCTCAAAGCTCTGCTGAGACAAGGAAGGGACCGTGGTTAGCGGGGCACCCTGGAGGTCTCCATCATCCAGCGCCAAAGCTGCGCCGCCTCCTCCTGTGCTCGGTCTCTCAGGCACATCCCCAGCGCCCGACGCTGTGGCACACCTCCAATAATGGTTAAAAAACCCAGCTCTCAGCCCTTAAAACCTGCGATTTGGGAGCCGCTGGCTGGTGAGAGGAGCCAAATCCTCCCAGCTCCCGAAATCCCGGAGTGCCGCGGTTCCCACGCTGCGGCAGGAACAAAGCACGGCTCGGGCCAGACACTGGAGCTATTCTCGTTTATTCTAGCTTTATTTTTCTTGTACAAGTAGCCACAGGCTAAAATCTAAACAGAGCAAACTACAAAAAAAAAAAAACTTTTTAATTTTTTTTTTTCCTTTTTTATACAGAGCTAACAATCGTAGGATCAGTGGGATTTCAAACATCACGAGAGTTCCAAGTAAGGAAGGTAGAAAACAAACAGTAGAAAAGTGCTTTGCAATTTGGGTTTTTAACATTACTCTTAACGGCGGATTTCCGAAGAGGGCCGGGACAAAGGTTCACCATCGGCTTTGTTATTCCTTCACGACACACACAAAGATATTGCAAGTGCCTAGGATGTAACCGTGACCAAAGCCAAACCCCTCTTTGCTCCCTAAGACCCAGAGCCCCATAAAACCCGGCAGTTCCCCAAACCACTGGGTTTTGCCCCAACCTCCTTGGCACAAAATCCCGATGGTTGAAGGCTGCTGCAGGGTAATCCCAGAGCCACTGCCCCGCTGCCGCCGCCGTGGTGGATGCTCCTGCAGAATTGTTTCTAGAGGTGAGGGCCAGAAACTGCCCCGACTGAGCCCTTCCCTTTTCCCCTTCCCTTTTTTTTTTAATTTGCTGGGGGAGGAAAATAAATTAGCCGGCATCACATTGCTGGATGGGAGCTTTAACCTGCCTTCCGTGGCCTGGCATTGGGAGGGATCCGTTCCCAAGCCCCGTTTGCACAGATGAAGTCAGTCGGTTGCTCCCCCCGTGCCACCGCTGTTTGTTTTTGCAGGTTTTTAATTTCCTTTTTTCCCCATTTTCGAGCCGGGAGAGCTGCCAGGCGGCTCGGAGGGGGCTCGGCTCCCGAAGCTGGTGGCCGAGGGGTCGGGGCTGTTGGGTGGGCAGCGGGGACGGTGCCAAATGTTGGGGCAGTGAGAGGTGAGGTGGGGTATCCACAGCCAGCACGGTCACACTTGGTTAAGGGAGGGGTGGTGGAAACTTCTTTTAATTGATTCTCTAATTACCGGTGGGCTCGTGCACACCAGACCAGGACCAAAGCCACCGATGCAGTTAGGAGCATCCCGCTCGGCTTCGTGGTGTCCCTCGTCCTTCGTTGTGCACAAACCTGGGGCTGTGCTACGTAAAAATCACGGGTGGAAGCCTGAAAACCCCCAAACTGGTCCAGCACTTCAAGATTTCAGCGTCTTTACCGACCGAGGAAGAAGAAAGGTACGTTAGACAAATAAATACCTGAATCCAAGAGCCTTGAAAATACCCTGTCACAGCATAAAACTATTCCCTGTCCAACTAAACACAACGTGGATCCTAGCCCTGAGGTAGCAGCCATCTCTGGTAAACTTGAGAGCTCCAAGAATAGGTTGTGCCCATTATGGGTTACCGAAAAAAAATCAGCTTTTGGATACTTTGCTCCTTGCTGCAATTTCATCTCACCACAGCCAGAAAAGCGAGAGGGTTTGGGATCTGCCCAGAAAAGGCAGCGGGGTTGGATGAGTGGAATTCATTTGATTGGGAAAAAAATTACAGGACGCGATTCCGACCCGAAAATGGGGGTGGTTGCCAGCAGCTGGCTCGAGATCCAGCACCTGCCCATTATCCAGCAGATAAAACACCAAGAGTACTGAAGAGTACAGATGGACCAAAGCTGGAATTGGATGTTTCAAGGGCTTTTTTTGCTCAATTTTGCAGACTTGAGAGGTTTCAATAATTCAGGGAAGGTCGCATCCCCTCCAGCCTCAGCCCTCCAGGGCTGCCAGCGCCTGCGGATCGGTCCCAGCGGTATGGATTGACAAGAGCGTAAAAGAAACCCCAAAAAGAGGAAAAGCTAAACGTCTAAAAATAGTCTTTAAAGATTCACATCCATCTTCAAGCGTCTCAAACCAACCCATAATCTGCATTGGTTTAAGCCATTACATTTCTGCATAATTATTAAAAAAAAAAAAAACAAACAAAAAAAGGTCTACTCTCGACATACTATCGCATTTTCAGCTAGTCAAATGGCACAGCATTTCCCTTTAATAAAAGGAAGTAGTGACAAATACTTGTTACTATTACAATATCACAATAATATGATATTAAATTAATAGCATGTTCGCAGCTCCAGGGACTCTGAGCTGAAAGCTACTCTACATCATGTGTTCACTTTGGCAACAGTACTGATCCGGCGCGAGCTCCGCCGTTCCGCACGAAGACAGCGGCACGAAACGCGGGAGCGGGGTGGGAGGAGGAGATTTGGGGTGCTGTGGTGTGAGGTCAGGACCCAGATTTAGGAGATGGGGCTCAGCTCCATCCCCATCTCGATGTCTGGGGGGCCAGGAATGAGCTGAGCCTCCGGTCCTTAGCCAAACTTGGTGAAACCCAGACTCCGTGCCGCCGGCCGGTTGGGTTGGTCAACGGAGGGGTTGGGAATCACAGCAAGAACTTTGGGGTGAGTGAAAAAAAAAAAAAAAAAAGCTGATGGGTCTGCAAAAATGAAACCCTCCTGGCCGTGAGCACCACAGGCTGGAGCCGTGGGCATCTCCTCCTCCTGCCTGCCCCATCGGTGCCCTTCGCACGCTGTCCCCGAGCCCAACATCACACGTCCACGTCCCCCAGGGTTGATGTGAGCAGGAACCGGCCCGGTGGAGGGGCTGAGTGGGGGATTAATGCACAAACCTGACCTGGAAGCACATTTTCCTGCTCACATCCATCCCCTGGCCATCCCCAGCCCAGCCCCAGGGCGACGTTTTCCTTCTCATCCTGTACATCGCATTATTTACACAACGAGCATCCCATTGCCAAACGTGACGGTGACGGGGGATGCTTCTGACACACGGGACCCTCCCACTGGTACCATTTAAAAAAATACAATGATCCTTTCTTTTAAACTCAAAACTCGTTTCCTTTCCTGATTCCTTTCTTTGCAAACACGGCGACGCCTGATGTACCACCACCTCCACAAAGAGTTCGGACCCTCACATTTGTCCGGGTTTAATGAATCCACACGGGGGGGGAGGGAATTGTCAGCCCTCGGCCTGGCGGACATCCCCGTCCCCTGTGCGTGCCCCCATCTCACCCCACGGATGTCATCCCTCATGCACCGACTCACGAGGCCTCGCCGGGCTGCCCCGTGCCAGGACAACCCCAAAACGGCGGCGGGTTGGTGGGGGCCACGCACAAAACCTCTCTTTGGTGTCGGGAGCCCCTTTGCCCACCCTGGGTGTGGGTGGCTGCCGGCAGCCCCCAGCGTCCTCCAGCGTTGGATCCTGTCCTGCATCGCCCCCCTCCTCGCCTCGTCCTCCACGGAGAAGCGAGCCCGGTGAGGATGGGTCCATCCTTTGGCCATGACCGGCTGGGGATGAGCCCTGCTGGCTGAGAATACGCTGGAGGAGCTCAGCAGCATCTCAGCGGGGTCTGGAAGTGCTGGGTCAAGGTTTCCACGAAGAGCTCCTGGTGGCAGGGTGGGCTTTGAAGGGGCCAGACGATGATGTTGGGGTTCCCAGCTCGCCGGGGTGCCTCGTGGTGCTGGCACACGCCATAAACCGTCCTGGGGGAATCGGCCTTGAGGGTGGCAAGCTAATGGGGTGGGGGTGCCTTGGCCCTGGCACAGAAGAGACCCCAAAACCCAGCCCAAAAGCACCCAGGACGGGCTGAGGCTGACATTTGGGGCTTCCATCAGGAACAACGGTGCTGGCGAGCTGCGGGGCACCAGCAGCCACACATCCATCACGGCCCCAACAGTCTTTAAAGTAAAAACCAGGATACAAAATCTCCACCCGGCGAAATCCCACCGTGCCTGCAAGTAAAGCTCAAACAACCAGCGAGGCGTCAGCGCGAGCGCTGCCGGACGCCGGCCCTCCACGGGGCCGGGTGGAGGAGGCAGGATTTGGGGTATTTGGGGAGGGGGGAAAAACGCACACACACGACTTTCTCTCACGCTTGAGGTAGAACATTGCTTTCAAGGTTTGGAAGTGCTTTACACGGGAACGACGACAACAAAAAACGACGACGCGGCAGGAACAGAGCGTGACTGCTGAGGTAGGACCAAGCTTGTACTGACCAAGTGCTCCGCTGCTCGTTTCTGAACACGAAGGAAGACGCAGGCATTTCTGCTCCCCAGAAGACATTCATTCCGGTTGAGGTAGGTTCTGATTTCACTCGGGTTGTTTTGTCCAAGTCTTTCAGTAGCCCTCAGGCAGGCTTCCTTTGACACACTCTTTTTTTTTTTTTTTCTTTTTTTTTTTCCATATTATATAGAGTCATTCAGCAAAAAAGTATCCTGAGAAATAGCAAAAGTGTACAAAATCATCAAATCCATGGAAAGACGGCCTTCCCAGGCCTCGATTTTTGGAGTCAAGTTCGAAGGGTTTCTCCGAATCCAGTCTTCTCAACATAAAAAATAGATCCAAAAAGTAGTCCTAAAGCTGCTGAGCGGGAAGAAGTCTGTGATGCCAAGAGGACGAGGCCCCACTGGATCCCCAAAAATGTCAGGGATGGGACAGTTTGCCAGACTCTGCCAAGGAGTCTTTTACTTAGCAGCAGTGGGAAAAATCCATGGTGACCAGCCTTGGTAAAGCCATCGTCGAAAGAAACGCACCAAGAGGCCTGAGACAGGTCGGAATGACAAACTTCACAGAGTTTCCAAAAGGCTGTACACACACACATATATATATATTTATATATATATATATATATATAAAAATAAAGCAAAACAAAAAAATAACAATCAGACCGTAGAAATCTTCAATTGACCTGAGATTTGAGGAAATCATCCTAAAGACGTCGCCAGCCGCGGTTTTGGTTTCTGGTAGCTCCTCCACGAGGGTTCGAGCCTTGGCAGGTTTATCCTTCATGGGTGGGAATGGGGTGGGGGGCCGCAGCAGCGGGGCTGCCGCCACAGGGGCTTTTTTGGGGAGGCTCTGGCTGCTCCTCGATGATGCTGAACTCGTCCAAGGGCAGCGTGGAGATCTGCGTGTCGGCAGGCGGGCTGCGAGCCGGCTGGGAGGAGAGAAAGGGGAAATAATTCAGGGATGGTGGCAGGTCCCTGATGCTCTTAGACGTGTTTGTGTTTTGTGGTGTGCCCCCAACCCCTCGCTGCTGGACTTACCGGTGTTCCCTTGTCCTGCTGCTCCCGGCAGGGTGCTGCTGGGAATAACCTCTCCAGCTCGTTCATGTCCAGCTGCTTCCCGGTCAAGTCCCTCTCGTCCCTGTCCCTGCGGGCGGCCCCGTTCAGAACCAGCCCCGCGGCGCTCCTCTGGCTCCTCGGGATCTGCGGGGTCGACAGCTGCTCCTGCACGTTTTTACACATCAGCAGCCTGGAAAATAACGAGGCGTAGCCTGAGGGCGAGCAAAGCTGGTGCCTCTCCTCCTTTCCTTCCCTCAAGCCTGAATTTGCCTTATTTCTCTGCTGCCTTCCTTAAATTCCTTAAATCCTTCCTAAAAAGCTACGTCTCTTCCACTCGCTGCAAAAGGGCTTTTGGTTTGCAGGGAGGATCAGGGCTGGCCAGAGCAGAAATATTGATGTTCCTAGGAAGTACCAGGAAGGACTGGAGCTGATGGGGTCTCTTATAGTGTATTTGGAGACGCCTGTGGGGTCTGCATGCCTGGGAATAAGGCAGAGACTGTGCTGCAAACAGCAGCTGCGTGGTGGCATTCCCAGGAGCTGGGCTGTGCGATTGCACGTTGTGGGATGTGCACGGAAAACAGCCTGTCATTGTACTGGGGGGGGGGGAAAACCTGCCCTGGTGAGCAGCTCCTACCTTCCTCTGTAGCCAAACATGAGGAAAAGGACGCAGAATATGATGCACGTGACGCCGATGTGGATGCCGATGATGATACCCGTCGTGGAGGTTTTATTGTTCTGCTCGTCCTTCATGCAGTCACAGGGGGGGTTCAGAGCTGCCAGAAGAAAGGGGAGAGAAGGGGTCAGCGGTGCTGCTTTCCTGCCGCTTGTCCACCTTTGGGGGGCTTCAAAGGCTGAGCCTCCCTCTCCTGCGAGGCAGGAGGTGCCGGTGAGCGCGGCAGCTGCCAACCAGAGGAGTATTTACGGCAACGCAGATAGAGCAGCAATAACTGTCTCCCGGAGATATTCCCTCTGGAAGGTTTAAAGGGACTCCGAGAGCAGCAGGATGTTTTTTTACACATAGATGGATATGAAAGGTGTGATCGGTCAGAGATTCCCTCTAGAGATTTCCTCTCTCCTGCCTCGCAATGTCACGCTCACGAGCTGCAGCCCCTCTCCTTCCAAAGCCACACGGCCTCCCTCCTCTTCACCAGTGAAGCTCAGAAGAGGAGTTTCTGAGAGCTTCCAAGGCAGCTCCAGAAGAGCAAAGACCTCGGTGCACCACATCTCACCTGAGGACAGCAGCTCTTAGCTAACACTTGGAGTTTTGTTCATTTTCACAGCCTTGCTTCTGGCTCAAACTTGGGGGACAAAACTGGCAATTGTGGAAGCATTGGGCTCGTCCTCTCCCCCATGGTGAAAAAGTTACGGGGCTGAACTGTGCTGCAAAGAGGTGTTGGCTTGCTAAGGCTAACGAGGGGCAACTGGGATGGAGTGAGCCATCACTGGCAGCATGCACGCCTCGCCTCGACGAAGGAGCTGCACGGCCTCATGGCAAGGAAGCCACCCTACCAACCCCACGCAGTTTCACCTTGTCATGCTAAAAATACAGGGACTGAAAGCGATGGTGTTTGATATCAGGTGCACCATCAGAGTCACACCTTGCTGCTCTCCTCCAGATCAGTTCCCACAACCCACCACCGAGAACCCACCACCCGTCCTACCTGGCCTCTCCACGGTTTCCCTCAAGGACACGAAGCGGACGGTTGAATTTCCATCCCCGTGCTGGTTGTAGGCGAGGAGTTTGACTTCGTACACCACCGACGCATCTGTTTTGAGACATAAGAAGGGTATTTCAGCCTTGCTCATTGGCGTTATCTCCCCAGGGAGGCAGGTATTTAGGAACCACACCTAACCCAACACACAAGATGCTGCTAACGAGACACAAGGCAAGCTCGCACCACCTCTGTGGTGTGCAAAAACCTCTCTTTTGGGTGGGAAAGCACCCAAAAACTTGGGGTCGGGAGGTGACAGGGATGAAGCTGTCACCAGACTCACCCAGGTGGGTAATGTTGTACGCCGTTATGTTGCTGGCCAGGAGCACTGGGCCCGTGTACTGGGAGAGGTGGACTTTGCGGTAGAAGAGCTTGAAGCCTTCGTGCTGGCCCAGTTTGATGGAGGGCTCCCACGTGGCCTGGACAGCAGTGCTGTTAATGACTTTAATGAAGAGGGACGGCATGGCTGGGACTGAAACAGAGAGAGAAAGACGGCGGGGTTAGAAATCCCCCCCAGCATTGCCCTGCAGCCGCTGCACCAAAGAATGTGCTGGGTGAGTTTGAGAAAACCAGATTAGACCAGACCCTGCTTTAGCAGCTTTGGATGTCTTCAGGGAGCCGTGTGAGTTTCCAAAGGTTTCCTACGCTCCGCTCAGCAAGCAAAGAGGCTACTTGTACACTCGGGTTGCAATTTGATGCTCGGCCCCCTCGGGTCAGGGCAGGAATGCAGCCACTTTGGAATCGCATTCCCAAATTCCACTTTTCTGCCCTCGCCTCGAGGGCAGCGAGGACCTTTCAGAGTGATTAATCCCCGCGGGAGGAAGGAACCAGAAGGGATGGAGCCGGAGACATCCGTCTTGAAAAGCAGGCGGTGAAATATCCTCCTGCCTGGCTGAGCGCACGAGGCTCCTGCGCTGCCTTGCAGGGTGTTTGGGAGCTCGCTCTCCCATCAGCTTTTGGAGGGAGGTTTGTGATTCTGTGCTGGGGATAGAGGAGAGAACTGGGACACCTTCAGCAACGGCCCTAACTACCTGAGCAGCCTGAGGTTACCCTGGTGCTGCCCGTTTCGGCAGGCAGGCACTTACCTGGCCTTAGGGGCGCCCAGGGATTTAGCTGGGAAGATGTCCCTGCTGCTGCCCAGTGTCACCGAGGCCTGAGTCAAAGGACAACCTTTCCTATGGTCTGTGCCAGCCCGGTCAACACCCCAAAATCCTGCCCTCATTCTCGGGGTGTACAGCAGCAAGGTGTCAGTGCCACTTTGTCCATAGGTCCCCCAAGAGCTGCCCGACCCCGTCCTGCCCCCTCAGCCTGGGCTGAGAGGCAAAGCTTTGCAAACCAGAGCCAGATTTCTTCTGACTCAATACGTGGCTTTTCCAAAGCTGGTTCTGCACAAAACCACGCAGAGCAGTGGCAGGCAGGACCACGTTCCCCCGAGCATCTTCCTTCCCCTCACCCTCCCTTTCTCTCACACCGAGCACATCAGCGCAGAGCCGTGGCTCAGCAGGACCTCTCACTGATGATTTTTTCACTTCATTTCCACCAAACAGCCCCGGGCCAGATGCTCCCATCAATTCCTGAGCCTTTTGCACCATTCAGATGTCACCAGGTTCTGCAGGGTCTGCCTTGCCCAAGGGCTCTGCTCCTGCTCAGGATTTTGGGCACTGCTGCCCCAGGCAGCGAGCTTGGCTAAACCCAGCAGAAAAAGCACGGAGCAGAACAACAGCTCCGCTTCTCCACCAGCCTCTGGCCAAGAAAAGGCTTTGAGGCAGAGCTATTTTCCAGTCCCAAGTGATTATAAGCTCAGAATAGCCCAAGTATAAGGACTGCTGGGCTTGCACTGCACCGACGCTGCTTTTTGTCTTGTTTTCCCCACAGGGGCTCTAAACGATGAGCAGTGAAAACCTGGCCTCGACGCTGTCCTTTGGCACGGAGTTCAGCACAGCCATTTAGTGAGCGATGTTGGAAAGCCGATGAAATGTGGTCGTGTCAATCTAACGCTGACAAGAGCTAAAAAGGGCACTTCCTCAATTTAACAGCAAAGTCAAAGCGGTACAGCGTGCTGGTCGGCCTTTTCCCGGTCACCAGGAGCAGGATTTAGGGGAAGACATCTCTCCTGGTGAGCAGGAGGGTTGGGGAAAGCTCTTCCCAAAGAGATGCCCTCCTCCTCCGAGCCTTGGCAGGCTGCAGGGCTGTTCCTGATGCATCAGGAGAGGAACGAGTCCCTGCTGGCTGGTGAGCTTCTGCATGTGAACGCAGGACACAAGATCAGTGAGCGGCTGTCCTTGTTCAGGTTAGCGAGATCCCACCCTGCCTGAGTGCTGCCAACGGGGAAAAAAAGGGACAGGAACATTTCCTCTGGCTAGGATTTATTCTGACATGCTTTTCATTGATGGGAAGGCTGTGCTTAGCCATTTCTAGGTGGCAAAACACAGAGCAAACTCCATTTTTATCAGAGTGTATCATTCTTCCCAAGTCCTCATCCTTTTTTAATCCAATGGAATAATATATATATATTTTTCTCCCAATTCCCATTAGGGTAAAATTAGGAATTGCTTGGATCACCCCTCTGAGAAGCGGGCCCCTTGCTTAGAGCATCGTTTTCTGAATCATCAGTGAAAACGCCACGGAAAGGGAGATGGCATCATCCCATGGACAAAGAAACACTAACGTGGGCCATCCTGATTTGCGAAGAGTCGGCTTTATTTTACGGTTGCAGAGCCTTACATTTAATAAAAACCACAAGAATACCTCTCCTTCAAAGTACGAAATATATAGTATTTATTCAAACTCTGAGTATATATATATATATATGTAAATACTGATTATATGTAGGCACTTGTAGAGCACGTGCTGTTTATAATGTTATTACACAAATAAGTGTATACAGGTGGATTATATCTGTGTGTGCATAAATATATGTACACACACGAGTGTGTAGGTGCTTCACAGAAGTATATATAAAACACAGCATGTTTCTAATATCAGTAAGGCACCTCCCTCATGCTAAGGGCTGGGATACTTGTTTTCCTCTTCCGTGCTGTTTGGAATTTTCCCCAGGTCATTTCAACTTTCTTCTTGAAGGCGTCTTTAGCCGAAGGAGACTAAAGGAACGGTCTTCATCCTAGAGAAATGTCAAAAAGTCCTGGAGAAAACCCTAAAAAGCATTAAAAGACAAGAACAGGAGCGTGTGCTGCTTAATGAAGCGGATATAGTTTGAGATTAAAAACACCACAGCATTTGTGAAACGGCGGAAAGGAGCCCCGAGCCGGGCACACGAGCTCACAGAGAAGCATTCGATTGCCAAAGCGAGGCAGTCAAGGGGTTTGCCATGGGGAGGGCTCCCCGTCTATCCAGAGAAATCCCTGCAGGACCCTTGGGACCCTGCTCCTAGCCAGTCCTGGGGAAAGGGGAACAACAGCGAGGAGACGAGAAGACCTTTCTAGCGAGAGACATTTAGGGAGGACGAGGTTAACTTTCTTGGTTTCCCTATAGCAACTCACGTTCTTTTCATCCAAAACTATCACTGGTCACAAAGGAACGAGCACTGCACTTTCAGAAAGCGTTAAAATCTTCAGCCAATCTCTCGGCATATTACTAGTCCTGCAAAGCTGACCACCAAAGCCGGGAGCATCCTGCTCCCAAGGCCCACACCCGCACAGCAAGGCAATGACGAGGTAATTCAGACCCATCCCCAGCTGCCAGCACCTTTGCAGGAACTCCAACAGATGCTGCCCAGGCTCTGCAGAGCTGAGCCATCCTCAGCAGCCCAAATCAGCCCCCACATCCCTGGCAGGCCAAGCAGCACACAGCAGCGCTGCGGCACGCGGGGCTCTGTTTGACCACGCACTCAGGAGCTCTCCTAAGACAAGGGCTCGCAGCCCCCTCGTGTGTCTCAGGAAGACACAGGGCAAAACGGCTTGGCTGGGCGTGAAAATAGGTGAATCTGCAAAGAAACCTTAATTTGGTGGCAAAAACTGCTGGTCCTTGGGTCCCTTACCCTCTTTTCAGCTGTACGTGCAACCAGGAAAGCAAAGCAAACAAGCAAAGCCCCCTGCACCCTGCCTGCCTAAGGATCAAGCCAGAATTGGGCTTTGAAATCTCTTTTTATTTCCCTAGGATGTAAACCCGAGCTGGGTAGAGTGATCTCAGCCAGGACAGTCTGTCCACCCTGCACATGTAGCTCATTGCTGAAGCTTCGTTACACAGAACAAGACCTTAAAGGCTAGTAGAGCAGGACAACGATGCCTTAAATTTTTAGAGAGCCAGGAAATTTATGATCCCATTACCAGATACTTAACTATTCCTGTCGTGATTGAAGGTAATAATGACCAAAAGTCCTATCTCGCTTGACCCAAATTCCTGCAGAAACACCAGACTCCATGAAGCATGGCTGGCTTTTAGCTCCAGTAGCTGAACTCAGAGTGTCGGGTCAAGGAGTTTCAAGTTTTAGCTTAGCCAATCCCTCTGCCTCTAAATTGGAAGGAAAAACAAACTCAAAGGGTGACTGATTCCCTGTGGAGTACCAAGGAAATAAACTCGCAGGACAAGGATTTATTGGCGGCGTTGCCTCAATGCTGCAGTAACATCTGCAGCAGCTGAAGATGGAAGGAGGGCTGGATCCCCCACCTGGAAGCCAGTGCACTCCTAATCCTAAATCACATCCTCATGTCCTCTCTGCTGCAGATTCCTAATTACTGAGTGTTTATGAGAATAATGCAGTCCTCCTAGGAAATTACTCTCAGTAAGTGAGACGAGACAGGATTCAGAGGTGCTGGAGAGGCACACAAGACGAGGAAAATGTTCCTACGATGCCGCTGCCAGAGGGATGATGTTTGACAGATCACACTGGGACTGTGGTTTGTAGGCAAGTGCCCTGCATCAGAGCACCCACTTCTTACTGGGGAAGCAAACTGGTAGCCACAGCTGGGAGGCCAAGGCAGGGAAAAGCCTTGGAGACCACTGTAACTTCTCACTGAACCAGGGCTGCTCCAAGGCAGGGACTTGGGGGTCAGGACGGCTCAGCTCGGTGTGTTTTCTCCAGGGTAGAGCAGAACAAAATTTACATTCAGAAAGGTGTAGTACCTATAAAGTAAGAACCGTAAGTACCAGAGCTGCTGGAGGAAGCTGAGACATTTCTGGAACAGGAACTCTGCATTTAGCAAGCGGTTTAGGGAAAGCCCACAGCAGCTGCAATACACGACCAGACGGCGGAAAGGATCAACTTGCACTCACAGCAACACAAGCTGTGAGAGGTAACGCCACGTTTAAGGCCATCAGGCGATGCCCCTGTACAAGTGAGCTTCACACAATGACCCAGGGTGTGAGGAGGAGTGGGAACAAGGAGCAGCGACAACACAGGCTGTGTGCCAAGGCACTCAGAGAGGGTCTGGGGGTGACTGGCGCCGCTGCTACGCACAGCAGGATTTAGCATCTGATGGCCCAAGTGCAAAGCGTCCCTTACCTTCTCCCAGCGTGCTCACCACTGTGACTTCTGAGGCCTTGCTGGCACCGCGGGAGGTGTAAGCCTTTATATAGAAGCTGTAGCTGGTGGAGGGCTCTAAATCCGTCACCAGCTGCTGGAAGGTGCTCTTGCTAACAGCCTCCTGGTACTCCATCTCCACGGGATCTGAAGTGGGAAGAAAGAAGAGAGCTGCGTTAGGCTATGAAAAGAGCTAAAGGGACTGAAGAGATGCAGCAAGCAGTAATTCTGGTCCCTAACGTGGACCTGGACCTGCCCAGACCCTTTTCTGCTTACATTTCTGTGTGCTTTGCCAGAGACCTAAATAAGCAGCAAGATTCGACTGTGCAGCTCCACTTTCCCCATTTTTTTTGGTGTTTATATCGCCGTTACTGCCTCACCTCTGCCTTTTAGAAACAGAGGGGTGACGGAGGACATGGCAGCACCACCTACTACAGTGCAGGCCTGCCTCACCCGCCGGGCCTCGCGCCTCGATTCTGCCAAGGCCGAGGAAGCCGGAGACGTACCCGCAGCCTTGCGAATGTGCAGCACGTAGCCGATGATCTCCTTGGTGTTCTGGAGGGGCTCCTTCCACGACACCTGGATGGTGGTTGCAGACACCGTCTCGGCCCTCACGGCCTGCGGAGGCCCCGGCAGCCCGTCCGCCCACAGCACCGTCAGGCGGGCGCTGGCCTGCGTGGAGCCGGCGCTGTTCTCGGCGATGCACTGGTAGATGGCCTCGTCCGCCTGGTTGATCCCGTAGATGGAGAGGGTGCTGCGTGGGGACACGAGAGGGAAAAGCATCCCACTGAGTGCTCTGCAGCATGAGTCCCCCCCTCCAGCTGAGGCTGTGAGGGGAGGGCATCCTACAAGCCTCCGTTTCCAGCTCAGCAGGTGGATGTGGCATTTCCCTGACCTCAAGAGGGGCAGATTGTCTCCGTCCTGAACTCCAGGATTGCACTTGGGATGCAGACGAGAACAGGAGCAGACCCCATGCACACGTGGGCACCTCACACCCTTCTGAGCTGCACGGCTGGGCAACGTCAGGGCCAGCCCAGGACCTTGAAAACCACAGCAGCCAGCACTGACTCAGAAATAAATGCGCAGCACTTTGGCGCTATCTTGCCATTCAGCGTGCAAAACAGCTTGTCTTAAGAACATTTATTTACAAACAGAGACCCATCAGCAAAAGCTCTGCGCTCTCCAGGGCTTAGCTCTCTTCCTGAAACCAAGCCTGGAACAAAACGATTCGATTTGTGAGAATTCAGCAGGCACAAGACCCCGTCAATAAAAACCCAGCGCATCTCCTGGCCAAGACATGGGGCTGGGGGAAGTCTCCCCACACTGTTTCCATCTTTTACTGCTGGAGATTTTGTACCAGCCTTAAGGCAGGAGCTCAGGAAGGTAATAAATTAGGCTTATGATGCTCTTAGTCCCGTTTGGATATCCCTACACCTCTGCTGATCTGAGGGGCACTTCAAGGCTTTGGGGGAGTCATCACCAAAGCCGCCCTTTATGCAGGTGAAACACGGGAGGTGGAGATGATAAATAACTTGCCCCCGCCTGCCTGTACGGCAGAATGAATGCTGCTTCTAATTGCAGCAAAATATTGGGCTCCCTGCATTAAAATTTATTATTGCTGTTGATTTAACATTTGTATTTCTGCCTTGCAAATTGTCGGGGCCATGGTGAGCGAGCAAATGTTTAACAGTCATCTATTTATGTCCTGGGCCTTTGTTTCCTTGGCAACATTGTAAATGGAATATCAAATGTGATCTTTTCAGCTGATATGGTGATTTTAGAGAATCAGCCCTAAGCCCCGATAGCCACAGGCTCAACGGAGCTGAATAAATGGGAGGAGAGAGCCGGAGTGGGGAGGGGGCAGCGGGAGGAGAGACCCGATGGGTGGCTCGAGTGTGCCAGCAAAGCCCGGCTCCTGCGAGGGCAGATGGCAGGAGGCAGAAGGATTATAAAGTCCAAAAGCTGCACTCGCAGCCCTGCACGAAGCAGATGTGAGCAGGGAGCATTGGTGTTTACCCCCCGCACCGTCAATGCCGCGATTATTTTCGCGCGGCCGCCGCGCATCTGGGCACCGGGAGCAGCCAGGCTGGGCTGGCACGCACGTCGAGAGCAGCCTCAAGATGCCCAGGAACCACGAGGAGCTCTTAAACTTACACACCAGCTCCACAAAAACAAGGGTTTTCTCTCCCTGGCACACACAGGCAGAGCTCTATGAGCCGCAAGCCCTGATGTGAGCTCCGAAATCTGCTGGCAGCTGCCACGAGGAAGGCAGGGGCTGCCGCTGAGTTACAGGCACCCCAGCAGGTGCCTCTCCATCCGAATTATCAACAAAATTCTCCCCCGTTCAGCACCCCTGGGATGCGGAGGATGCACGCGGCATGGTCCCCGGCTCTCCCAGGTCTGGCCACTTTTTGCTTTTTTTCGTTTTTTTTTAAGGAAGCTCAAACAAAAGGGAAAGATGTCGTTGCCACACGAGGAGGCGCAGAGCGTCTCCGCGCGTCAACCATCTGAAATATGCGGCGTCCTTTTCTTCCTTCCCGTCAAGGGGGGGGAAAAAAAAAATAAACAAAAAAAATCTGTCACTTCGGGACATCTGCTGTTGGGAAACTTTCCCGCGAGTGCCAGACCGGCAGCGCCGCGAGCACGTCGGGCGCGGCGAGATGCCAGAAGGCTTTCTGCTGGTCACCAAAGGCGCTCGGCGAGCCCAGGGCTCCGTCACGGCTCCGCACAATGCCCTGACAGGCAGTGATGGAAGTGGGGAGAGGAGCTGCTGCACGTTCACACCCGGCCGAGCCGCGGCACGGAGGGGAACGGGAGGCAGCTCGAAAGCCGCCTATTCCCAAGCTGTCTCGCAGCTCGGAGGCAATCAAGATGACTGATCTGGCTCGGGTCAGGGGTCCGGTGCCGCTGACCGGAGATCGGCTTTCCAAAGGCTCCTCTGGAAAATAAAAAAAAAAAAAGCCTGAGAACTGAAGGCGGCCTCTTCATCGATTCGGCAGCACAAAGGAGAAGAGGGGCCCAGCTGGAAGGACAGCAGCGTGCGCGCGCACAGGCGCACAAAGGAGGGAGTGTGATGAAATTAATGCGGTGCAGGCTGCCGCTAGCGCCGAGCCCCTCTGCTGTGCTGGTGGCTGCAGAAACGAGCTGGGGCTAAACGCAGACACCCAGCACCAGCACACCAGCCCCGTGCCCAAACTGAAATTCCCCGGGCTGTGTTATACAGGAGAACGATCCCGTCCCACGTGGATGGGTTTATGTTTAGCAGATCCTGCAGCACGCCAGCCAGGGGCCCAGCCTGGCTCTGTGGTTACAGACTCACCCCGCTGGGGTCCCTGGAGGGATGCTGCAGGTCCCAGCGGGGTGCACGGCGCTGCAGGAACCATCCCAGCCATCTGCCTGCCCTGTGCTGGATGGAAAGCCTGCAAAGCTGGCCACGATGCTGCTCCTTCTTGCACCTCTGGGAGGGGACAGCATGTGGCAGGACAGGGATTTGTCTTACAGCCTCTTTTCTGCAAAATGGGATGCTATCCATGAGCGGCATCGCACTCGCTCCAGGAGGCACGGCAGCGGAACCATTTCATCCCCAAAAGCTGAATCTTTTTGGCTGGCTTCACATCTGGCTTTGCACCACCTCGTTGTGACACCAAGGACACGCGGTGGATGAGCTGGCTGCCACTCCATCTGTCCTCATGAATCAAGGCTGCAATCACAGACATAAATGAATCCTGTCCTGGTAAAAGGAAAGCTTTTACACCCACAGGACTGCAGGGGAGCACAGAACACCTCGGGGAGAGCTCCTGGAAGGGAGGGGAGATCCCTGCGTTGGTTGTGACAGTGCCAACAGCTGGCAGAGCCCTGCTGCCAAGTGGAAAGCCCCCGGAGCTTTTTTTCCAGCAATGGCCATGGGTGTTGGAGAGGAAAAGGACTCAACCTAATTCCAGGGAGGCTGAGCTTGGGCTGCCCCATGACGGGCTCCATCCTGCCTCCAAGCTCCTCTGTAAGGACCCGTGCTCGCTGGGGGAGGCAGGGCCAGGCGGCCGCCCCGCTGCTCGCGCCGAGACCCTCCCTGCGAAGGCAATTAGGAGCCCGCGCAGCCTCCCCACGTGTCTTCCCCACAAAGTCAAAGCCATAAATTATGCTTAAATCAGGAGCAGCTGGTTCACATCCCGGTCCTCCGCGCACGTATTTGTCATGCTTCTGGGAACTGAGCTGGGATTTTCTACGCGGAGCCCTGCCAGAACCACCAAAGGTCTTCGAGCTCCTTGCATAAATGGTGTGCACCTTCCTCAAGGTGTCAAATCCCTACAAAATCAAGAGTTTGGGGGGGTGTGAACCCCGAAGGGACCAGGGTTCACCTATTTAACATGGGTTTCATGGTAAAATGTCTCCTTGCAAACGACAGGGTGGAGTTTCCCTGGGTTTGGTACCAAAACAGCTGTCCTGCCTCAGGTGCACGGGTATTCCTGCGGGCAGCCCGCTCTCCCTGTCTGCTGTAGGATTAAGTAACGCCACCAGTGCTAGGAAAGCAAAGTCGTCCTGAGGTTGAACTGCAGAGGAATATTTTCTTTGATGAGCCCTGAGCGTCCACGGCCCTTACAGCGAGTCATTGGCAGAGCCCTAAAACAAGTGCAAACCAGCGAGGAAGAATTTAAAAAGGAGACACTTGATAAGCAAAGGTCAGCGAGGAGAGCAAATGCCACCTGAGCCCGGGTTCTGATGGAGCCTTTTTCCTCTGGAACAAATGAAGTCCCTTAATTACCATTTTGTAAATAAAATCTCCTTGGAAAAATCAATATTTAGAGCCTGCCTCCTCTGAAGATGTTGGCCTTTGTTCCGTGCTATTAGGGCAATATAAACCCCACGGTGTGATATACTTCGGGGCTGAAAATTATCCCCCTGAACCTGATTGGGTTAAGGGAAGGAAAGCAGTAAACCTTTCAGAGCAGTAATTCGAGTGCTATTTCATGCTTCCTTGTACATTTTGAAGTAATAACCTAAAAAGCAGGATTTTCCATGAGCTCACGACCACCGTGGCCAGCCAGCACCCCTTCCCCCTGCAGTGACACCTCTGCTTTCAGGCCAGGCTGGCAATGCCCACTGCACCTCTCAGGCTGGGGCATTTTGGAGCGTGATAAACCCAGATCACCCTATAAAAAATAGGGCCATGCCATCCCTGATTATCCAAGGGGGACAAATGATGTGGCTGCTGGATATTGGGATGGCTCCACCCAAGTCCAAAAGGCTCCACCGAGTTCTCCATCCCAGAGCAGAGCTGAGAGCAGCATCACGCCCACACCCCCAGCGTCAGCCCCCTCGGTGATTTTTATTCACAGCTTTTAATGGAAAACCCCACAATTCCCTCCACCTGAGCCTTCTTCATGCATTTTTCATCACCAATTACCCGCTGGCCCGGAGCCGCTTTTGATTTTTGCTAATCATCGATTGGATATTTTGTTCCCACACAGCTGGCATTTCCCAAACACAACCACCACCTCTGGAGGGGGGCACAGCAGAAGGCTGCTCTTTAATGCTAACGTGTCAAGAAGCCGTCAACACATCAGGCGATCAGAGGGACGGCAAGGGAAGAGGTATTTGGTTGGACACAGCCTGCAAGGCTTATTTTACTGCACTGCAAGGCTGGAAACAGCACGGCGAGTGGCTCCGGAGACCTACTTGATGTTGTACAAGCAGCCACAACCAACCTGCAGGGAGTCCAGCCCTAAAGCTGCCATCCCACCTCCACGAGGATGGTTTTCTGAAGCCCCCTGACCTTGAGGGTTTGTTCTCCTTGGCTTTGCAGTTACACACCCCGTGTCCTGCAGGTCTGGACCTCGCTTCTAGCTGCGTTCGTCTACAAGAGTGAGGTTCCTCATACCGATACATTTCGCAATCAATTAGCACATGATACGATTTGGGATGATTTAGTCTTTTTTTTTTAAAAAAAAAAAAAATCCCTTTGGGGGGCATTCAGACCTTTATTGCCATATTAAGCAGAGTTTTAATCCAAATGAATTTTCTAGGAAACCATGTAATCTAATTAAAAAGCTCACGGTGCAGTTTAGCAGCTTCATTACTGGTAGATTCGCGATCCATCTCTACACGGACAAATATTTTCCAAGTGCAATAGGCTGATAAATCCAAGGCGTAATCACAAACCAATTCTGCCTGGAACTAAGTGGGTTACAGCACTAGTCATGCCCATGGGAATGAAACAAAGGAGAACTTGAAAAAGCTCCAAAAAAAAAAAAACAACAGTCGTTGATCTGTTTCCTCCGATTCCTGGAGGAATCCATGGCTCCGATTCATGCAGCACCCAGCCACGCTGTACGAGCAGGGGCATTTTTCAGACTGACAGCTTTGGAAACCACCAGGCACGGCCACTTTCCTGAAGCTGAGGGTTGGAGTAGACCAAAAGTGGGGCAAAAGAAGCCAAATGTTATCAACTTTAGGGCTCGGTTTTACCATCACGTTACTCTAGCTTAAGAAGATGCCCCAAGTCAGCTGAGCCCCAGCAATGGGCAGAGCTCCCCCAGCCTGTGACAGATACAAAAAAATCTGATCACTCAGCTTGCAATGGGGAAGACTGGAGCTAAATTGCATGAAATGATTGCCATAAAATACTACGACAATGCTCACCAAGTCTCAGTTAACATCCACGTGTAGGGCACTGGGGCCAGGAGTCGTGACCAGGATCGAAGACCCTACACCTACCTTCCTGGAGCAGTGAAAGGAAAGATTTCACAAGCAAGGCACTTGGGAAAGACAAAGATCTGGACTCTGTGAGTTTTGGCATGGATTTAATGACCACGTGCAAAGTCTTTGGCTATAGAATCATAGAAATATTTATGTTGGAGAAGACCTCTCTGATCATCAAGTCCAACCAAGTCACTTCCCTGGTCAATAAAGGGGATAATAATGGGAGATTTCCCTTCTCCCATTTCTGGTCTGTTCATATAAGAGCACACCTGCCTCAGAAACCATGCACTGTAACACCACGAGCCTGGAACGAGTGACATCTGTGTGTGCATGCACAACGTTCACCGAAGCTTTCTAAAAACTGCCAGCACGGAAAAAACCTCTGCCCATCAAGATTTTATTACAAGCCACACCTTATCCTTCTTGCAACTCACATCCTTCCATCCTTCACATAATAAAGCTTAAGAAAGCCTCTCTCAAACCTGAAAGCAAACAGCTGTATTACAGAGAACCTTAAAAAAATAAAACCACTGTTCTCCATACATGCCATAATGCCCGTACAGGCTACACTGAATGTCCAAACCTTCCATGGAGGTGGGGTTGTATTCACGAGATACATTTGTTAACACAGACAGCAGCTATATGACACCACAGAGTACAAATCTCTACCAATAATTTCGGTTTACAACACAGCTCCTATTATTTTTCAGGATATTGTTCAATGCTATTTCCATAGAAACTGTTGTCAACGGGCAATTTTCCTGCTCAGAGCATCGCACCGTATCATTTCCGCGGCACAAACATCCCCGTCCCCTATCACGGAAATTTATTTGTTCAGTACTCAGAGAGAACACTCTTCCCCGGTGAGATGAAGGGCTGAAGCTCAGTGACAGCCAGCTTCCACGCCAATATTCTCCCAAACGGGGCTAAAGGCGTTTGCACACCCAAGCAGGTGGCTGGGCAGGGGTTAAAGGATGGTTCCTCCACTGCGGTTCAGCATCCTCGCTGCTAGTGTCAAGGGCAGGCTCTGGTCCTTCCAGAAATACCCAGAAGAGGATCAGGACAAAAGAAAAAACTTTTGCTGGGCTCCCATATTACCAGTCAAGGTCTATCACTGATATTCTGGTATAATAAAGCACGGAGCACTGAAATATAAGCCTACAAAGAGTGGCTGGTAGGACCAGAGAGGATGCTCCAGCATTTTTCTGTATCAGAGCCCAAGTCAAATCCACAGAGCTGCTTCTGAACACCACCACCTTCACGCCAGCCCTTTGCTAACGCAAAAAGCAAGCCAACCTCCCTCCCACTCCCTTTTCCACTGGTGTCATGATTGTTCAAAATGCTGGCTTTTAATCCAGTGACTCAAATCCTCAGTGCAGGGTGACTCCAGGCTGACACTCCCCCCAAAATCTGGAGCTGCCGAGGCCAGCACGCGGCCACTTACCTGTTGTTATTCTTCAGCTTGATGTGGTCGCTGGTCTCCAGGATCTGCCCGTTCCTCAGCCAAGTGATCTGCGGCGGGGGCTCCCCCTGGGCCACGCAGGTGAAGATGGCAGTGGTCCCCACGGGCCTGGAGATGGACTGGGGGTGCTGCACGAACTCCGCGGGGGCTGCAGGGAAGAACGAGGAGAAGGATGAGAAAAATCACAATGATCTCACTTCGCCCTGGCACAAACCTCGTAGCTTGGCCTTCCGTAAGCCTGGGAACGTGGGGAAGGGAAGTCCTGGTGCTGTCAGATCCAGGGATACGTGGTTAACCCACAGCGCAAGCAGCAGGTAACATGAAACAGAAAGCGTGCGTGGTGTTTTGCTGAGCATGGCACCGAGCACATCCATCACCCTGGCAGCAATCAGCCCTGACTAGAGAAGCTTGCAAAAATCTGCATGCACGGACAGCGCAAAGGATGCTGAGGAAGGAAGGAAGACAGCGACTGCGTGCTGAAATGATGGTGCTGGTGGGTGGGAAGTCCTGCTCAACGGCACAGCAACGCCCCATGGCCTCACCCAAAGGACCCGTATGGCATTGGCAAACTGCTTGACAATAGATTGTAATTTCTGTCCCCAGGAAATATCAGATTTGCTGCAGATTCTCCTGATGGCAACAGACTGGGGAGCCCTTTTTACCCCAGATCTGCAGCCCAGGACCCTTTTGGTCCTGCAAAACCTTGGAGAAGACTCCACAGAGCCTGTAATCGCTGCTCACCCCAAGACCAAATGTTTTTTACCTTCAACATCAGGCTTTGTAAACAGAAAACGATTTCTCCCGCTTCCAGCAGCTCAGAATAGATTTAAAATCATTTATCAGAATAAAGCAGGGTATCAGCCTACAGAAAGCACAAGGCAAAACACTGCCAAAGAGGTGAGTTTATCCAAGCAGTTACGCTTCAGAGGGCAAAGTGATAAATACACTCCACGTTGCTGCTGGGACCCAACATCGCGCGGAACCAGCAGCAGCCACAATGAAGACAAACAGATGAGAGGCACGGGCCCGTAATGAATTTACCAACCAGCGTCACACAATGGATGGCCAGCATTAAATTTTTCCACAAAAATGCCAGGAAGGAACAGAAATGAACTGCAGAGCTGCTCTGCCTTGCAGGAGCCCCCTCGTTCATTTTTAATAATCAAAGGGAAGCGGAGCATGGCAGCCCTGACTTGTGTCAGCTAACGAACCTGATCCCAGCAGCCTGACGGGCACACATCTCCAGAGCCTCCTGCTAAACTTCCCCGTGCTTTTGCAGGAGCAATTTTTTGGCAAGTGGCCGTGCACCTCCCTGCTTCCATCCCGCAGGTTGTGCCCACGGTGCTCGAAGGTGCAAAACACGATGCCAAGGATGGGCACAGCCAGCTCCCAGCTCCCGGTGGTGGTGGCTTCGTTAAGGATCCTGAGCTCCCTCCTCTTCTCTGTCCTGCCAAACACAACCAGAGCAAAGCCCAGGCCCCCCGTTCGACTTGCTCAAACTCTTTGGGGAGCAGCTGGCCCCTCACTGTTTAAAGCTGAGCCTTAAACAGCAACCCCAATACCTCTGCTGACAAATTCCAGCCCGCAGCAAGGCACGGAGATGGGAGAACCATCAGGAAACGCAGCGATGCCCGGCTCTGCCAGCAGCAAGGGGGGTGAAAACAAGGCAACCATTGTCAGCAGAGCCTTCAAAACCCCGGCCTTGAGATGGGCACTCATTTAGGAGATGGGATCTCATTTTTCTGCGTAGCTTTCAGGAGGAAATGAAGCGTGGAGCGGAGAACACTGGTGACCATCTGGCCATTCACAGCCCATCAGTTTGTTATGACACCAAACACATAATAAAGCACAAAAGATTGCGCAGGAGGTAGAGGGAAAGCGCTTTGATTTTCTTCTTCTTTTTTTTTTTCTTTTTTTCTTTTTTTTTTTCCCCTTCCCTTGCCACCGCAGCCTGCTCGTCCCTTGCACCACACGCACGGCCTGGCTCCCTTCAGCACTCGGGCCCTTCCTCGGCTCCCCCCGCGAGGCTTTTTCATTCTCCGCCCGGCACAAAGCCATATTCAAATGGCTGCGCCGGGATCTTAAAGAGAAAAATGGCAACTTTCTTCTGGGAGAGCCTCACAAAAAGAGATCAAAGGAGCCTAAACGGCCAGGGGAGGGCAGGGAGGGAGGGAGCGGGGGATTGAGGCCTTATCCTCTGGAGGGAGGAGGAATTCCCAGGAAGATAATCAGATGATCTGAAGGAGAGGCTGCGACGGGAAAGGCTGGAGCGAGAGCAATGGGGACACCTCTGGGGATGCTGTTATAGGGTGAGGACCACCACTAACAGCCCGCAGTGGGGTGGAGGTGGCAGCAGGAGGGAGGCCGTGCTCTCAGCCCCAGCTAACTCCTTACAGCAGGAAATGTGTCTCTTTCTGCCTGTCTTTCCCATATATAAAACTCTGCCTCCTTCAAAAGGCACGGGGGGAAGTGAATTTGTGCCTCCGGGCACTTCAAGGGCCCTGCATAAAGGCAGCAAAAGTACCTGGCCTGGCAATGCTTTGAGGGCGCTCCCATTGTCCCAGCCCCGTGCTCACTTCCTCTCCAGCCAGGCTTTTGCTGGCCTCCTCTTTGCTTTTCTTCCCTTTTTCGGATGTAATTTGCATCGCTGACGTCTCCACAAAGATAAAACCCCCCGGTCTCCCGTGTCAGTCATTATCGGGGTTTTCTTCCCAGACAAACCTACCAGCAATCATTTGTACCTCTCAGCTGGAAAATTCCGGCAAAACGAGCTTCAGAGGGAGGGGGGAGAAAACCTGCAATGAGCCAAGCTGCTCCTTGTGGGGACGGCCAGGCCCCCAAAACAGGACCACTTGTGGATGGCAGCATGGGTTGAGCTCCTGGCTGCATTTCTCCATACCACTCCCACTCATCCTGATCACAGAAGCAACTCCCTTCCATGCTGAAGGGCTCTGATGACCCTTTCATTTTCCGATTCTTCCATTTTCCTTTTCCAGTTTTGAGGACAAATTCTTATCTTGGTTTTCCAGGCGAAAATCCACAGAAATCCTGTCCCAAATGAACTGCAGCTCTAGGGCAGCTGCTGGGGGGTGAAGGTCAGCTCTCCAAAGAGCCTAAAAACTGCTGATCAGTAGCGATGAGAAGTTGTGCTACCCCCTCCCCTCTCACCCAACTGCTAACTGAAGCAGCCAACAGCATTCAATAGCTGCATTTTTACAGCTTCATCGATTTTTCAAGGAATTTCTTTCGGCTCTGCCCGCCTGATACCTGGACATCAGCTTTGCCTTTGGGTTCACGGCCTCAGCTGCATGCAGCACGTGCAGAGCCGTCCTGCAGCAGCTCTGAAGGGTTTGTCTCAGTACCACCAGGTTGCTCGCAATGCCTGGGCTCTGTTTCTCTTAACAAGGGGACCCTCAGGTCCCCTCATTACACTGCTCACCCAAAAATGCAGCAGCAAAAGAAACTGCAAGTTTTCACCTCCTGTTAGCACCTGGGACTCAGGAGGAACACACAGCCCGGTACAAATTCTCTTCCTGCATCACTCCCTGATGCTGCCACAGTAAAAGGGAAGAGGGATGCCAGCACCCAGGGACCGCAGCCTCTGCACAGGCTCCCAGGACCTGTCAGGTGAGCATCAGGGCTGGAGCAGGGCACTTTCCCCATCACCAGCATGAAAGGTTCAATTAGCCTGCTCCGGCAGGAGGTGTGTAATTTTAGATTCAGGATATCATCAGTCAATAGTTAATGAGTGAACTGATGAGAGCGCGAGATGCTTTAAGTGGACTAGCTTGAAGAGGAGGTGAGTGCCTGTAATCAGGGGCGGATTACTGCCATTCAGAGCACGCTGCCAGCTGGGTTTGCCTTCTGAAATACTTGGCCTGGCTCCCCTCACCATGGAGACTGGTTGCACGGAGCATGTGGAGGGGATTTGCTTGGTTTCTTGAGCGCTGATCTCTGCTCTGGGCTGAATTACCCTCTACAAGTGACATTTGAGGACAGTTGCTGTGGGGAAGGGGAGCAGCCCGCACTCCTGCTTTACCCACGTTGGAGCAAAGAGCTCAGATGCAGCGTCAACTGCTACAGCAAAGGGTCTTGCTGACTTCCTGGAAATGGTTTTAGACTTACTTGGGCCACTTCAGGTCAGGGAGAAATACTCTGAGTGAGATCCACTGCTGGGTGTCACCGCAGCTGTGATATCCACCATGCAGAGGCATCCCATAAGAGAACAGTGCCCATGTCACTAAGAGCCATGCAGAGGGTAAGAGGTGATTTGGCTGACTAATTCAGCCCGTGCTGTCAAGCCAAATACCTCGAGGAGGTGGGCAGCCACTGCCACCCAGCAGCTGAGGCCTCAGTTCAATGATACTTGGTCACCACTCACCTGTTTGGCTCTTTTCTACACAAAACCACGTGTAGGAAAGAAGTGCTTTGTCCGACACCATCAGAGAAGCCCATGCCAACCCATCACAGTGCCCGGGAGGCAGGCAGAGACCGTGCAAAGGGCACAGCAAAGCAGGCATCGTGGCTCTGCCAGACCCTTTTTGCTCACCTTGCACCACGAGCCGGCCCTGTGCGGTCCGTCGCACCCGCGTGCCGGGTTTGTTGGCGGCGCACACGTAGATGCCTGAATGCTGCACGGTGAGGTCCGAGATCATGAGGTTTCCCGTGCCCAGCACCTGAATCCCCTCCACGCCAATCGGGCGGCCGTCTGAAAGAGGGAGAAGAGGGTAAGGAGCCATCTAGAGCCTTCGTGTGAAGTGCCCCAGCGCACAGTCCTTGGTGAGGTTTGATTTAAGTCCTTATGGAGTGGCACCGTGCTCTGTCACTGGGATTTGCCAGGTAAAGTCAACGGGTTTTAGCCGATGCTCTTAGCAGAGCTGCCTTCTGGAGGAAACCAGGATCCTCAGCTAAGCGTTTGCCCGAAACCACACTCTGTGCCTGGAAAACTAAGGCACCATCACAGGAAATTTGGAAGCTTTAACATGCTCAGGTTAAGATGAAGCTCCCAGAACGCTTTCCAATAAAGCAGTAAAACCAAAAGAAATCATATCAATTTCCAGTGAGCCATTGATACATCGGGCTGACCAAGGATCCAGCCAGCTCAACAACCTGTTGCCAACAGGGGTAGATGCTCTGGGAAGGAGAGCAGCCACCCCACAGCAGTATGTCCCTGCTGCACCCTCCCTGCCACGAGCAATTTATGGCTTGGGGATTTCCTGGGCTAGAAGTGGTGCTTTTTTGTCTGCTGACCCTTGATGGATCTGTCTCATTGCTTTTGGAAGCTATGTGAACACTGGGTTTTCAGCTCCTTCGCTCCTGAACACACAGAAGAGCCCAGAGCCAAGGAGCCCAGCTCTGATGCTGGACTCCAGCACAAGGTTTTGAAGCAGTTGAAGTGCTTACCGTGAAATAGCAGTATCAGAGAATTCGCCTTTTTCCATCAAAGCCTCTTTCCACTGGAGAATTCCCAGCCAGCTCTAATTACAATGTGTTTCATTAGTATCAGGCTATTGCTTTTTATTGTTTCATTGGTTTGTGTTTTAAGACACTGTCTGACAAAGGCAGCTCTAAATCAATCCTAGCATGTGTCAGGGTGTCTGAGCAGAGGGGCAGGGCAGGGAGCACTTTTGCTGGAGGAGCAGTTCAGGAGAGCACACGTTCATCAGCTGGGAAGCAGCAATCCAGTTCCTCTCCCACGTTGGCTCAGGGAGGAGTTTAAGGAGCTTACAGAAATGGAGAGGCAAGAGCCAGCCTTAGTGATTGCCCCATCTGAACATCCCAAGGGACTGCCACACGTGTGCTCCCCAGCAGCAGCAGGGACACTTCAAAGTTGGGCTTGGTAAAAGGAAAAATTCCACCCCATTATCCCCAAGGATTTCTTTCAGAGCTCCTGCTCCTATCCCAAAAACTGGACCTGGCTCTCCAGACTGTGAGAGACAAAGCTGTGGTTTTGCAACAGAAGGTGTTTCTGCAGCACTGTGCTAGGAAACACTGGCAAAACGGGGACTGAAAGCTACCCTGCACTCCCTCAACACTTCTCCTGCCACGCTCTCTGCATTGTTTTTCAGGAAATTTTTAGACTTGAAGGATTCCTTGCTTCATTAGGCAGGCAATGCCAGATCACTTCATTATTTGCATTGCAAAGAAAAATGCTTGGGTCTTCTAGACAGAGAAAAACAATGTCATTAAATGATTAAACTGATCACATAGCTGGCCAAGCCACCGCAGCAGTAAATGGCTCGGTCATAAAAAGGACAGTAAAACATGACCTGTCCCGCATGTAATGAGCAATAAGAAGGAACCATTTCCTTCAAACATCATTTGAACTGAAGTGTAAAGAGGCCTGAATTAAATTCAAATTGAACTTGATTTCATCTCTTAAGCCAGACCTTTAGCAAGTCCGTATTTACAATAGGTGTAAAAATCAAATCTCCCTCTCGAGGGAGGGACGGGATCAGTGAAAGATGGGAAGTGTCCCCACCTGGATGCTCCATCACATCGTTGCCTTAAGAAATACCACAGAAATGTGACTTGAATGTCAGCAGATTTACTGTACTATTTACAATGTGCTACATAATTTAAGCACAAAAGACCCAGCCTGCAGCAGGCACTCTGCACAGGCCGAATACCTGTACATCCTCAGTTGTCTCTCCAGCTCCAACTATTAATTACAGGGGTGATGCTCTGAAGAAACGTCTCCTGTCAGCCAAGCATCTTTCATTTCGCTGAAGAACAAAGCCCTCTGTGCTCAGAAATCCCAAGGGCACTGCCATCTGATTTGGGGAACGTGGCTACTTCCAGCAGCTGGACAGGATCACTGTGCCAGATCAGCCCACAGGCTTCTCGCTCAATTGCTGCTTTCCAGTAAGTCCTGGAAAGGGTTTCTAGAGCAACATCTGCACTTTTTAACCCTGTTTTTCTTACAGGAAGAACTGAGTGGCTTGGATCAAGGGACTCAGACCCTGCAAACCCACCTTTCTGGCATTGCTTTCCATCACCAAGTCCATGGTGGAGATCCAAAAGGCTGCAAAAGCTAACTCTGTTTCTGAGTCCCCGAAGCTCTCCGGACCCACGCAGGCTTGAAACTTGCTCACTTACTATGACCTTCCCCTTTTTATGAAGTCAAAAGCAGAAGATTGGAGGCCTGAGAACAAACCAGTTTAGGGGGAAATATCTGCCAGATCATCTCAGTCCCCAGCTGAAGAGAGCTGAAGGTTCAGCCATTTGTGAAGAGCCGCCGGTGACTGATTAATAAATCAGACCATCCTCCAAGTAGGAGATGCTCCCAAATAACACCCGGCTCTGGACAAGCAGAGGTCTCCAGTTTTCCCGTTGGGGTGAAATCCGGGGCTTGGGAGCCCCGTTATTTCTTTTCCTAGGTGTATGTGATGCTTTCTGGAGCCCGCTCTCCGCCTGCTCAGCCGGTGATTGGCACAGCGGCACCAATTACGGGGCCCCGGAGAAAACGTGCCGGGCGATATGAATATGCAACAACACCAACGCCTTTCTTTTGGAAGGAGCGAGCAGAAAGAAAGTAACAACTTTCTAATGTTGATCATTTAGGTCTTTTGTGAATTCTTTGTATTGTGCCATAGTAGCCTTCCACTTTGGAGACGCATGGGTCTCCTGCTCTGTCCGACACCGGGCACGGCGGATTAGCATATTTAGAGTACATTGCAACAGTTGACTATTCAGGATGTGAAGTGGTGAAATTTACTCTATTATTTCTAAACACTTACAGGAACGGCGCTCCTGTCAACCAGTCAGCCATCTATTGCAAGCTTCTGTGTCCAATAAGTTACCAATTAATTGGCTCCTGCAATTGTTGCATGGTTTACTTTTTGAATGGCTCCCTCTTTAGTAATTTCCTTCCCATTGTGCGACCCTTTCTGACAACTTCTGTATAACGCTATCAGATAATCACTGTCTTTTCTTTTTCGCCTCACTTTTCTATATCTCTCTAAATAGTGTATTATTCTGCCCTGGTACCTTTTATGGAGGCCAGCTCAGTGGCCTGTCACTTAAAGGGTAAGGATACATTAAAATCGTCATTCATTCAAAAGGCTTTGCAGTAAGTGCCCAGGATATTCATTTGTGCACGCATACAGGTCCCTGCCTGAAGTGCGTAGCTCTGAAAGGAAAAGCCCTATCTCCCCTGAACAAACCCTTAATGATTTTACGTTTCTCTCAGAGCCTGCTCCCTAATGAATGTTGACATTTCATGCGCTGCGAGACACAGGAATTCTGTTTGTGGTCAGGGGCTACAACATATTCCCAAGGAAATTAAATTCAAAATTGATTGTGTGACACTCAAAAACCGGCCCAGAATTGGAATGATTTCCTTTAAGCAAAATATAGCTGCCTCTCCCCCTGAAAACCGGCCAGGTTTTCGCAAAGCCAAAGCAAAAAGTGCAAATGTTGCTTTCCCTTGCAACTGAAAGCTGAAAAAGCAAAATTGTTCTTTGCTCCTTTCTGATAGAAGAAATGCCACAACGTCAAAACTGTGAGCGAAAGGGTTCAAACAGATACTCCAAAATGGCAACAAGCCCTGTGCACAGACCTGGTGTAATGGCAACACCGTGGTTGAGGTTTCCCTCGAGCAAGCAAGAGAGATGTTCACACAGAAGTGAGCTTTACATTTTAATTATTGTGCCTCTTTAAGTCTTTGTGGCCATGGATTTTATTATTTCTTGGAGTGGATGAAGGCTTTTTTGCAAGGTAAGTTGGAAAATTACATTGGGAAAAAAAATCAAATTGGTTATTTAAGCTGAACCAAGTCTGCCAGAAGAACCTGAGGAAGGAAACCCTCACACGGGAGGAACCTACCTGTAGAGGACAGATGCTCGGAGAACCTCCCTGTCCAACATAACCCCTCTTCCACCTCCAGATGACACAGACACGGCTTCTGAAATCACTACCAAGAGTCTCTTTGCCACTTCGGAGCTCTAAATCTGCTGCTTTGCTGCAAGGCCACGTGGGGAGGGTATTTATTTTTGGTGGAAGGCAATGCTGAGCTCACGCCATCCAGGCAAACGTAGCACGAAGCTATTACATCTTCATTACTGCACTGCTCTTTAGAGACAAGTGTTTTGAAGAAGGTAATAAGCACTTATAATTAAGGCAATTATAACGTAGTTTATTATAGTTGAGCTCTAACGTAGAGCTGCCTTGTGTCCAAGAGAGCCAAAACAGTGATACAGCTCGTCTGGGGAATTTTTAAAACAGCATCAATCTGATGGTTATGGCTCTGGAGGAAAAATAAGAAGGTAGCAGACACAAGTTGGTTTTATAAGCCACCAGAGGAAGCAAGCTGGAAGGGAAGTGTGGAGAAATGGTGTGAGTGCTGCTGGATGCGTGTCCTTGTCCCCTGCAGATGGCTCTGAGTGGGAAGTCACCGTCCCGTGAGCCAGACCAGACTCCACCAGCACAGCCTTTGGAGAGCTACAGGGGCAAAGCCCTGTACCCAGCGCTGCTTTATGGGGCCGGATTATCCCTGCTCGTGCTTCACAGCCACCTCGGGTGACTTGGGGAGATTAGCGTCGAAAAACAACGTGACCCCGCAGAGCACGAGGGCTTGGGAAATGCTAACTGAGCCCAACCCCACAGCGTGCTCACACAGTTACGAGCTCCAGAAGATAAATGAAAAGCCGTCAGCTCTTTGCTCGGCGCGGATTTCTGTTGGGCGGTGGAGGTGTTGCTCCGCACAAAGTATTTTCTGAGCTACTATCACGGTGTAAGCCTAAAAGAGCCCTTGCTTTTGGACAGGGAGAAACTGCACTTTGCTTGTGTGATGCCATCAGCCCCTGGCTCTGGTTTCCATGCTGATTAAAAACCATCACCCCAGCAGCAAGCATCTGTATTTTCAGAGCTTCAGACACGCTACCTTAAGCTCTCTCTGCCCCCTAAGATTTTTTCCAACTCCCTGTACAGGCAGCGAGTTTCTTTCAAGTCTGTTTCACGTGGAAGACGTGTTTGTGTACGCTTCTGCTTCTCTGGGCCAACAGTGGTGATGTTTTTGATGCAGCTGAAGAAGACGCTGTCACTCAGGGAACGCTAAAATTATCACCTTTCAGGAAACATCTACGGGTTTAACCAGCCCACTTCTCTAACCGCTAAACACACGATCTTGGCAGGGAGAAAAAAAACTGAGCGCAGACAAGATAAAAAGCACTTCAAGCCTACAATTAATCCCCGTAGGAAAGGAAAGGGTGGATCACTTGTTGCGTGGGACACTCCCTGGCATCACCAATTTGCTACGTGGTGGCAATGGAGAGGAGGAAGGAATCCTCGGGCTTACCCAGGCGGCTCCAGGAGACGATGGGCCGGGGATTGCCGGTGGCGATGCACTCCAGCACCGCGGTCTGGTGCACCGTCAGCGTCAGGTTCTCCGGTCCGACGAGAATCATGGGGTCCTTGTAAACTGTGGAGTGGGAGCCTGCAAGGAGAGCATCACTGTTAGAAGGCATCCCCAGGGCCTCGGGACATCCTCTCTTATTGAACGGAGCCACAGAGGGCTTCACCCATCCTCTAGGTATCAATGAGGCGTTTGGTGTAATCCCCAATAAATCTGAGATGCACGTGAAACAGAGGGAGCACGGTATTTAGGAGGCTGTTGCATTTTCTGAATTTTCCAGAATTGCTATTTCTGGGGAAAATGCAGCCACAGCCAGCCCCAGGCACTGCTCTTAGCACCCACGTACAGGCAGCACAGGGAAGAAACCTTGCTGCGAGCTGCAGTGAGCAGACCTGCAGGTTGGATGTGGTTTGCAGGGAGGACACAAGCTACAGGACAGCTTGTGCAGACTTACACAGACATTATGCAAATAAATGAAAGAGCTGCTTCACCTTGCAGCATCTCGGTTTGCTAATTAATCTGTGTGCTCCATAATGCATAAATTTACCTCCGTGCAAGCCTCCTCTGTTGCTGCTGGTGTCATTTGCTCCAAAAACCCTGCCCTGGGACACAGAGGGAAGTGCAGGTGGCAGTCTCTGTCTCCTGCTGGGGATCTTTTTGAGAGGAAACTCCAGAAATTGTTTATTTTCACTACGGTAGCACCAACAGGCAGCAGCCGAGATTGAAACCCGTCACACAAGATGATGCACGGACCCATAAAATAAACCCATAAAAATAAAGCTCTGGCACGAGGACACTGGAAACTAGACAACCACATTTCACCGGACAAAAAGGAGACTGCAAGGACCAAACTATCATCCCGTGTCAGGTACAGCACAGCTGAACCTGCATCTCCTGGGCCACCAGAAAGCGCCTTACCCCTGGGCCAAAGCTCCCTTTGGCCTCCACTCCCGTTTTTGGGGAGCAGAAGCAGAGGAAAATGAGATATTCTCAGTTCTCCATCAGCAGGAGACAACAACCTCTGCATTAGCCTTCTCCCTTTATGTTCTCCCTTGCTGATGAGATCTGGGTTGCACGCCAGAAATGCCGAGGTCAAGCAGTGTTTAAGGAATTTAAACAATCTGACAGCTGCTGCTGGCAAAAAATGCTCCGTGCACCTGCAGAGAGGAATACTTGGGCTGCTCTTCTCCCCCGAGCAAGATTGGGGCATGGGGGAGGCTGGAGCAGAGCCCTGCCACCAGCAGGGCTTCGCTGTAGGGTCCACCCCGCACCACCTCCTGGACACGGATGTTCCCAAAAGCTTGTTAAAAAGCAAATCGATGCCCCAAAAACAACCTGCGAGGGCTCTCCCCATGCTTTTTAACATCACCCTCTCGCAGCACCTCAGGGGTTGAAACGAGGGTGGCAGCAGGAGGATCACACAGCACGGATCCGAGCGGCTCGCTGGTTTACCAGCCCTCCGGGGGCTGCTCGGGGAGCGACAAAGCCACTCCGAGGCTGCGTCTAAAATGGGCAAAATCCAAGAAAAATCACCGTGTCGGCGTGACTTAAGAGCTGACTCTCGCCGAACGCATTTCACCGCGAGCCATAAAATGCAGATTTTTTGATGAGAAGCAGAATGCACAATAAATTCATATGACCGGCTGCTTAACCCCAAGGGATCTGAAAAACAATACCTCCCCCCTCGGTACCTCGGCGTGCCTCTAAAAGCCATGTCAATTTATTGTTCTATATCACAATGGTAAACGTCCACGCTTAGAATAACACGATATTATCATCGTATTATATACTGATTGCAGGATTTCAAAACGCTGAAAAATGAAATGAAATGTCCAAGGTCACCCAAGAAGATCGGCAGACGGGAGCTGGGAGCAGAGCAGGATTTATAAAACTCCCCGTTTGGCCAACAACAAAAATCACACGCTTTGATTTACGCTCCTCAATATGCAGGCGGGTTCCTGGGTGTGGGATCAGCTCCCTGAGTTTGGGCAAACCTTGTCCATCTCTGGGACCTGCATTTCCATCAGCTGCTGAGCCCGATGCTGGTGGCAGTGGCAGCTCCTGCAGGTCCCCTGAAGGGACGGTGACCCAGGAAGGATGCAGCTGCCCCCTGAGCATTGGGGAGGTTTCCTTCTCCTACCAGGACACTCTTTGGTGCAGGGGCTGGAAGGGAGGAGTGAGAAAACGAGGGGCTCTCAGTAGGCAGGTGCTGCTGGAGGAGCACGACGGGGGTTCGGGCAAGCTGGGGGGGATTTATTTTGAAAGGGAAAAAGCCTCTAATGATGCAGGCAGTCCCCGGGGGCTCTGCCAGCAGCAATCCTGGCAAGCGTGGGGAGGTCCCCGGCACCGTCAGGCACTCTAGGAGGGATGGGAGCATCGCTGGCACGGGCTGTTAGATCTTGATCAAAAGGACAGCAGCAGAGAGAGACGCGGCTCGTGCTGAAAAGGTGTCAGTGCAGAGAGGCAGGCGGCCCCCTGGGAGCAGCTCCGCTAAGCAGGCACTTGAAAATAATCAATCAGTAGGGCTGGAAGACAGATCTGTGCTGGGAGAGGGAGGGAAGTGCTGCGGGCAGGCTCCTTCCTCCCCTGCAGCAGCCAGCCTCCTCCTCCTCCTCCTCCTCCTCCTCTCCCACCCCAGGGAGGCTTTCTGCAGGTCAAACAACTGCTCAGGCTGCTGTCCCAGCCAGGAAACCCTCGTCTGAAGAGGGTAAGGTGTTTGCAACAGGTTGAGAGCATGCAAGCGTGTGGTTCCTGCAGCTCTGCTCACACACAGTGACTGAAAGCACGGGCCGAGCCCTTCGGACACTTACACACCTACACACCGTGCCCATGTTCATCGCACGACTGCCTGAAGGAAGAGAAAAACCACAAGCACTGCACAGACAGGAAACCTGGAAAATATCCACTCGGGATGAGGGATGGTCAGCTGACAACAACCAGCACTTTCTGCCCCGCGAGGAACAATAACTCAGAGCAGAAAACTGACACAAAGAACTTCAGCACGTCGGTAACTCACTGCACGTTCCCCCCCAGCATGTGGCTACTGTTCACATAGATCAAGAGAACAGCTAGCTAACAGGCAGCAGGAGCTCCCAGGTCTTTCAGAGCCAGCTAACCTGCTTGCTTTCCCCACCAGGCGATGTGCACAGCATCGCCTTTTCCTCAGCTTCCCCTGTTTCACACATTTTTTCTCCATTTAGCAGAGGCCAGCCTGGCACAGCTCAGGAGGAGGACCCTCGGCTGCATGCAAAGGGTCCGTCCGTGCTCTCCCAAACACATCCAACTTGTGCAGGAGCAAAGCGTGGGTGTGAAATGCTTTGCTTTGCTTGCACAGCACACTAAAAACCAGCAGGTACAGTGGCTTGGGACCTGTTTCTGGAGAGGGACTAAAAGGTCCTGCCACTTCTTCAGCTGGAGCTTTCCGAGGTGAAAACCTGTTTTCAGCCAATAACTTGGAATACGGATGGAGAGCCAAGCCCAGATCCAGCCTGGGGTGCTCAGGGCTTCTCCTCCTCATCTTCCAAAGAAAGGTGAGCCCACTTTGGCTGCAGGGTAATGCTCATGGCCTACAGAACATAACTCCCCGATTAGATAAAGAATTGATCACCCCGTGTGCTGCAATTACTTCCAGAGCGGGCAGGTCTCATAAGGAGATGATGTATCTTCCGCGTTTCCTAAGGAATTTATTTAAAGCAAAGCTGCTGTAACTCATGCTCACACCGTCCTCCCTCTCCCCAGAAACTGGCACTAATTTAGAGGCAAAGAGATGGATTTCTCTGCTATTAAATGGACTGATGTGGCAGGAACTAATAACAATACAGAGCGAGGAACGTGCTATTGCTGGACAGAGGAACTTTTCTCGGTGTGATTAGCCCAAAGCTAAACTGTCCTGGTCCAGAAGAGCAGCAGGAGAAGGGAAAGGCACTCAGGGCTGGTACTGACCTGACACAGTGAGCCTGGCCTCCCGGCTGAACTTCACGTTAGCAATATTGGTAGCGACGCAGTGAAAAATCCCGCTGTCCTCTGCCCTCAGCCCCGTGATTTGGAGAACCCCCTTGGGAAGCAGCGTGTACCTGCGGGAAGGGAAAAGCAGAAATGAAGACTTGCAAGGCGGGACACGATGGGAAAGCAAGCTGATGAAAAAGCAGCTGGAAAGCTGCTACCACCCAGATGATGCAGACCCCAGCACGTTTGCTTTTCGGTTGTTTGCTTTTTGGATATTTGAGCTTCTGCTCTTCTTTTACGGAGGTTACGTTCCTTTTTTCATCTTCTGATGCATCCTTGGGAAAGGAGGGCTTTCGATGGAAGGCTACGAAGTAGCTGCTTCTTATTTAACTCGTTGGAAAGCTTTGGAAAAAAGCTTTGGAAGTGCATTTTCGTGTGAAGACAGCTGACACGTGAGTCTATGGCCAAGCACGGGGGAACTGTGTGCTCCAGGTCCGACACAGGACTCAAACCCAAGCAACATCAAAACCTCGAATGCACGGAAAAGTGTCTTTAAAACAGATATGGTGTGGGCATACATCAATATAAATATTTTGTATATACAAACCAGACTCACTCAGAGCACATGTGCACACGCACACATCTATACGTGTCCATACATTACGGGTTGCTTGGCAACTGCGTGTTTCAATGGCTCGGTGCTCTGTCGTTCCGCCGTGATGAGTTAATAATCCATTTCCGTCGGGAAGATGAAGAATACCTTGCTCCAGATCAGCATATGGTTAAGTGCCCATAACCTGCTCCCTGCGCCGGGTGCCAAACGCGCGGTGTCGGTGGCAGCGTGACAGCAATCAGCCTTACACGGCCCCAAGTTGATTGCAATCTCTCCGGGACTTTAAAACGCCCGTTGTTTTGGATGAATTATACCACAAGAAGCCTTCATTTTTGTTAACAATCTGCCCACAGCATTAGAAGATTCAATTCCAAAGCTATTATTCTGCCTTCAGAGCCTCCGAGTGCAAGGCTCGGCATACAAATTTATCCACACTTCATAGGCAGAAATGCACCGGGCGTGATTAATGCAGAAATCCAATTCAGTTGGAGGAGCAACCCTCATCACCCAGGCCCGCTGGTGGCAGAGATTAATCCACTGAGCTAACAATAAAACCCTTCCACTACAACTTTACTCCTGCGAAAAGCCTGTTCAAAATCAGGACGCTGAAAACTAGGAAAGCTGCTCCTAGACCGTGTCTATGAGGGCTTGGGTGAGCTCCTGGCCCCAGAGGAGATGCAGTGGGATGGGCACAGCCTGGGGTTATCCGGCTCTTCCTCCTTGCTCTTGGTCTCAGGCTCAATTCCACACCCTTTACTCCTGCCGATACCACCTGGCACCAGCTGCCCTGCTCTGCCACGTCCCCGGCTTAGCACTCAGTGTGACTGAGGAGCCTTCAGAGGAAGACCGAGTTTGACGAATCAACCTTGTGCTGGGCTAAAAAAAGCTCAGACGAAAAACACGGGGAAAAACAAAACCTGACAGTCGCAGTTTTCCACCGCGAGGCTGGGCCTCTTGGGCCTTCCTACCCTAAGTTCACCGTGACGCTGAGAAGGTCAGGCATTGTTCCAAGCCTCACGGTTTTCTCCTGCCTCCGAAGAACCCCACCGGGTTCTGTTTCAAGAATAGGGGCTTCCAGGAAAATATTTACGGCTTCCTGCTCTCGCCTATTCCCAACGGGCAGACACCAGCGGGCGATGGGGGCGCGCTGCGACCTGGTCTCCTGCCATCGCTTTCGTGCGGCCCCCGAGCTGCAGCTGGGCCCGCCGGAGGCTGCCGGCACGGAGCACGGGCTTCCTGCCACCTGTACCCTGCTCGGAGGATCAAACCGTGGCCCGGTGAGGTTTCCGACGTGGAGGGAGCAAGCTGTCAAACACAGGAAGCGAGGACGTGCTGCCCCAGGCCTCGGCTGCGGAAGGGGGGCGGCTGGGGCTTCGCTGCAGGACACTGCGGGGAAGGATGCTCGCCACGGAGCCTCCCTGCTGTAACCCACTCAGGGAGCCCACCCGGGAAGGAAGGTCTGGTGGTCGTGGTGTAGTTCAGTTTTGGGAGCCACTTGCAAGGCCGTGTCGTGGTTGTGGTGTGGAAGGAGGTGCTCAAAAGGGAGTCGCAGAGGGATGAAGGGTGCCAGAGTCGCTCCAGGTTCTCCTAGGACTGCTGTGGGGGCAACCTGGAGGAGGGCTGCCTCCTCTTGGGGGAGGTCAATGGAAGTTTCTACCCCTTCCAAACTCATCTAATAGGGTTTATCTAGCTCTCCTGGGAAATGCAGCCTTTCTGCATGGCCAGAAGGAGCCCTCACAACCCATAACATTCACCTAAAGAGTCTCCCATGGCAGAAATGTTGGCCAAGAGTCTCAGCCCAGGTCACCCATGTCGTAGGAGACCCGTGAGGGTAACTCTGCCCAGGGAAAGGACAGCGGCACAGTGCTTTGGGCATGTCCTACCTTTCGTTGTCCGTGTTGACGGGCATGCGGTTCTTGTGCCAGAGGATGACGGGCTCGGGCAGGCCGTGGATCTGGCACTGGAACCTCGCGACGCCCCCTTCCTCCACCACCGCATTCTGTGGGTGGACGTGGAAGTCGGACATGGCTGGAAGACACAAAGAGAGGCAAAACGGGTCAGGTGTGAAAGGAGAGCCATCGGCAGCAACCTCGCAGGACCGAGGAAGTTTCCCAGAGCTGGGAAATGGGACCGTCAGGCACCCACCCGGCAGAAGAGCAGGCTGTTTGCACTCGATCCCCATCTCTGCTCGGCTCACCTCATGCCCTGCCTTCCAGCAAAATGAAAGTCATGGTCACATCTCCAGAGCACCAGGCTGCCAGCAGCACCACGAGCAGGCTGCCAGAGCTTAGCAGCTCAGCCCACCACGACTTTTGGGGCTGGGACCACCCCCCGGTAAAGGATAAACCCCGCTCAGGGTGAACACAGAGCTGAGCACAGAAAAAAACACAAAGTGAACCCGTTTCAGCACAGCCACAGCTGTGAGCACCGCACGGAAAGGCTCTGGCACGCTGTTCGAGCTCCATAAATAATACAGTAATTATTACTATTAATTAATTGGAAGGTGCTGCCTGTTGACTCGGCAATAAACATATTCGAGGCTAATAAACATCCCGGTGGTTATTTAGCTCGTGATTCATTTACAGCGCCGCATCCACGGGAAGATCTCTCGCATTATCATATAAAATAAACTCCGAGAGAGCCCCCCCTGCTCCGCCAGCCCAGCCCGATGATGCCTCTCCCCAGCGAGAAAGCCTCATCCCCTTTTACACGCGCCAGGAGTAATGAATGTACCTGGGCTTCGGGACAAGCTGCGTGTGTGTCAGGGCAGCTGAATCACTCAGCTGCAAGCTCCAGTCGGGCTCGGGCAGCTGGGAGGGGGCCATTAGCAATCATACATTAAATATGTGGTGCATTAACCCGCGCTGCTCCCCGACCCGGCGCTCCCAGCCCGCTCGCCACGGGTTTGTTAAGCTGATGGCGCAAGGCGCAGCGAAGCCCTGGCGCGGCCATGGGGTTGGGAAGGGTTTGCAGCTCTAAAAATGTGCCCACAGTCCCATGTCGGGGTTTTTGGGTTGGCAGAGCCCTGTGCCATGCTCCAGGCAGGGTGCCAGGGGTGCACACGGCAGCACAAGGCGAAAAGACCGAGCACAAACCTATCTGGCTTTCCCAGGATGAAAGGGAACGCAATATTCCCTCCAGGAAGGGGCAGAGCAATGGCAATTTACCCTGGTTTTACAGATTCAGCCTGGAAATGGGACTTTTTGTGTCCCAGAGCACCCAGCCATGCGGGCTCGAGCTCAAAGGCAGCTGGGGTGTCTTCCTGGCAGCCCCCAAACCAGGCAATCCCCTCACCAAATTAACGGGGGCTGCTGGAAGCCATGGGGTGGCCGGGGGTCCCCATGGCACGGGGGCTCGAGGGAGCTGCAGAATACGTCGAGGCTGCCTCTCGGAGGTCCAGGTCAGGGCAAGCATCCTGAGCCCAAAACTGATGGGCTCTCACCAAGAAACAAATCCTAGAATTAACGAGAATGGCACAAAGCTCGTTAATAAAGAAAGGAAAAGGGGGAAAAAAAAAAAGCTGGGATTGAGACGCCTGCAGGAAAATTCCTTTCAAAGGTCCAGATGCTCAGCGCTGAGGTTTTTTGGTGGCTGACAGGGTTGATAAGAAGAGGGAGGTGTGAATGAGAGCAGCCCCAGCACAGACGCTGCTCTGCCGGCTGCAGAATTCATCGCCGCCCCTTTCTTTCCATAATATCACCTCTTCTAGGTAAAACTGCAGCGATAACCTCTCCTCTTAAAGACACTAGTATTAATATTTATCATGAATAAAACATGGGCAGTTATAAATAATTCAGTTATGAGGATGTTAAGTAAAATATTACTCTTCAACGACCCTATAATGTGGCTTTGAAGCACAGTTTTATGTTAAACGCCTAGGAAACACTGTGACCCTTGCCAAGACCAGCTGGTTTGCAGAAGATGCATTAAATATTCATGCGCCGAGCTACAAAACGCTATTTTTAACACGGCTTTACGAGTTTATTTACAGTTGCACAGACAAAGGCTTTCGTGGCACCTCTTACAAAGCAGCACCAAAAGTTGAAGGCGAGCGATTACCTGGGCGCTGCGCTCAGCCAGGACATAAATCATGGGGGGAGAAGGGGAGAGGGACGGGAGCACAGCAGGGCAATGCTCAGAGGGTCTCAATCTCTGCTGACCCCTGTAAGATTTTTACACGAGCTGCAGCTGACTGCAACAAACCCATCCAGGAGTGCTCGCTCCCGTTTGGCACTCGTTTTCCAGCGGAAAGCATCGGGGCTCCTGTTTTTAGCCGGGTGCTCTTGTTTCAGCCCACACCAGCCCGGTGGGGTTGGCCAGCAGCCAGGGAGCCGCATCTGATCTCTGTGCTAATGGCCAGAATCGTTTTAAAAATAAATACACGCAACCACAGTAGCCTCTCACCCCCGTGAGCTCCTAAGTGGGGAGGCAGCCTCTGCTCCACCTGCGTTACCCATCGCTCTGCTCACCCAGCAGCCACGTGGCAGTGGAGGAACTGGTGCTGCCCCAGCTCCCTCTTTACCATCCTCACACGAGGTGTCTGTCACCCTGTTGCATTAAACGGCCCTCTTACAGCTCCAGGTGTCAGCAAGCCCTGAGATCAGACCTGAATCCATGCTGCTGGAGCTCCGAGCCGCGCTGTCTCAGTGCTTCTGCTGCCATCCCAGCTGGATTTTGGCTGTGGCATGCTCAGACTGGCACGGAGCAGGGAGAGAAAAAAGCAAACGTGACAGGAGAAGGCTTGCAGCAGCTGGGGATGGTTATAGGAGCCCTCCCACATCGCTCGCATGGGTGCACCTTCTCCTTGAGACGTTGAGCAGCGATGCCAGCTGGGCAGCTCTGCAGCGTGAGGCAGATGAGCTGCTTTTTACCACTTTTACCACCTCTCCCATCTCAAACCCCAGAGGAAATTGGTTAGGATGGGGCTGGGTGCTTGGTTCTCCTCCCCAGAGAGAAGCCCACGGGTGTCCCACTGCCTCACCTTCACCACCACGCAGTCCCCACGCACGCACCACGCAGGTGAGCATCCGTCCTCATCCATATTCCGAGCAGATTTCTCCAGGCAAACAGCTTTGCTGGGTCTCTAATCAAAGAGCAAACAGCTCCCCAGCCTAACGGATCCCGTGGAAAGGCCGATGGAATAAAAACGAAAACAGGTATTGAGTGAAGTTTCCTTTACTCCACGAAAAACTAAATTGAAACCATTAGCGGCCAATCCTTTCTCGCTCGGCGCAGCATTAGTGCTAAGCCAGAGATTGACCTAGATTTGATATCGAAAAAGAAAACATTATCTTGGTGTGTCAAAGCAAATCCCAGGCCTGCCGGAATCATTAAAACGCAAACATTATTATCAAGTGCAGGCACAAGGGGAGGAAGAAGACTTGAAAGGTTCGGTGCCGAGCACGGTGGTAGGAGAGTAGCGGGGAAGGCCGGTGAGTTTTGCAGCACTTTGCTTTCTGCTTCTAAATTACATGTGGGGAAAGGGATGCCCCAGCTGGCTGCGATACAGGAGGATGCAGCTGATGGAGACGAAGCCTGGGAGGCACGTGGTTGGCCCAGGGAGAGAGAAAAGCCACGGGCAGAGCCCTCCCCTCCCAGGAGTGGCTCTGTCCCGATGGTCTATCCCGGTACAGCTGCTGATTTTCATGCTAAAGTCTCCAACTTGCGAAGAAAAACTGAATTTCTGCGTGGGCTGGCAGCAGTCAGGGTTGTTTTTAAAATGCAAGGAGCCGCTCTTCCAGTTAAACCCAGACCCGAGCTGTTCTCCCATCAGGCTCACAGCCCCAGCAGAAGCAGCCCTTGGCTGGATCCATGAGATTTATCAAAAACCCGTCCTGCTTGGCACCGCAGCTCCTTCCCCAGCAAGACAGCAGCCCCAAAGCAAGCAGGGGGATCTCATCTCCCATCCCCTCTCATCTTAGGACACCTCCACCACTAAGCTAGTGACCTGCTGGGGAGTTTTTCAAGAAAGTCAGCAGGGGAAGGCTTAGCAGACAGAGGTCACTTTCCATGCTCCTCTCCATACTCTGAAAATTGAGGATTTGCCTGGAAAAAAAAGAGCTGGCAGGAAATTAAAAGGGAATATGGGCACCACAAACCCCATCCTGCCCTCTCCGTGCCCTGCTCTCAAAGAGAAACGCTTCTCCAAACCCTAAAGAAGAAAAAAAACCACTTGATCTTCTCTATTTTTTTTTTTTTTTAAGATGCATTTTTACAACAATGCTGAAACCGCCCGTGTCACAGCAGCCCGGTGGCCGCCCCAGCTGCGGAGCCTGCGATTCGGCCCCGCGTGGCGAATGGTGCCGTTGTGCGGGGCTGCTGCTGAGCTGCCAGCAGCCCGGGGTGTGAATGCAAGCTGCTTTGTGCACCGCGGAGCGTGAACAACAGCGCCGCCCATTTATCTATTTAATTCGCCAGGAGGAGCAGGAGCGGGGGCCTTCGCTCACATGGCGAGGGAAGAAAAATCGCCCCTCTCTCTCTCGGCTTTGGAAAGGGAGGGAAGTGTTCAAGGCCAGCCTGCACGGCTCCCAGAAAAGGGTAAATCCCCCTCTGCCTAATCACAGGGCTGAAAATCCCAAATCTCCATTGTCCTCACCGGGCCTCAGATCTCAAAAGAAATCAGGCTGCAAGGGAGAGTTTGAGGCCAGGCAGAGACATCGGAGGAACGCAGCTCAGCCTACGTGGAGAGAAGACAGAGGGGGAAGCCCCATCTCACCCTGTGCCAGGCAGATGAAGATGGAAAGAGGGTCAGACCTGCAGGCTTTTTGCTTGCAACATTTGCAAATAAATGCTCATTCCTCTTCTGCTGTCCTTTTCTCCCCTGCAGCACGGATGGTCCAGGCTCTCCGCACTTCTGCATCTCACATCCTCGGCTCTCTGCTGTGGTCACACTCACTCATCCTCAATCAAAGCTGAGAGAAATCATTTAAACGAGGTTGATGCCACATCAGTCGGACTCCTCTGGCTGAGGAACCAAGTTTCCACCTGGCCTGCTTCTCTTCCCCTGCCCTAAGCCCCGGGGATGGGGA